GGCTAATCTTCAAAGAAAAAAAAAAGAAGAAATGGTTTGTATGTTTCGTGGTGGTTTTTTTTTTCTTAATAGGAGTCAGGACATAATAAGAAGCTAAAGATAGCTTCTTCCTCTAGCTTCTTACTCATGAAGAACACTCAGTAAGATTATCAATTGTTATTTACATATCTGTACAGAACTATAATCTATTAAGATTTTGGAGAAAGTTAACCTTTGTGTTGTTTGATCCTAGCCTGAGAGCATTATTTTAAGGGCTACTTAGAAGACATTGCTGATTAGGACGTAGACATCTTTGGAGCTTCCGCCAGCCACCGGGTGACTTCCCTGATCCACCGAGGCAGTGCATGCATGTTGGGGTTACCTTTACCTTTTCTATAAGTTGGACCAAAACATCTGCTTAAATTCTTGGATTTGTACCATTCCTTCAAATAAAGTAATTTAGTACCCCCGCCAAGAAAGAAAACATTGCTGAAATTGTAAACTACTTATAGAAACATTATGGCTAGATGCCTGCATATTGAGTCAAAGTTTGTTACTTGGAAAAGTCATATTGAATATGAGAAGGCTGTAGACTACTGTTCTTGCTATGTTCTGCCCAAGTAGGAGATTGAAGCTTATTAAATAAAAGTGCCATCACTTTCCCAGTGTATTTCAGTCCACAGGTATTTATTGAGAACCTGCTATGTGTCAGACATGAGGTAATGGGCAGTACAGTAGTAAATGAGAACAAACATCTTCCCTTAATGCATACAGAGTATGGTGAGCTATGTTGATCTTTGTCTCTTTGTGACCTAGATTACTGAGCATGGAGGAGTTCATTAGCCACAGGACCTTGGTCTTGTTTGCTAAAACTAGTGCTTTGTTGAACTCTACTGATATTTTTTTAACAAAAATGATTGTACTGTCAACTCTGTCCCTTAACTATTTGTTTGAACTTGGGAACATTACTTAATTTCTGAGTCTGATATTCCTAATGGTAACATGGGGTAATAATTCTGTCCTTGTGATCTGCCTGTGAGTGTAAAGTGCCTGGTTCAATGCCTGGCATCTTGTAGGTGCTTAGCACATGATAGCAGCAGCTGTTTCTGTTGTCTTCTCCTCCTAGCTCAGATGTGATTCTGAGACTTTGCTTTTATACTCTTTTAAGAAATAAGCAAACTGCGTCATAGTGATTTGACTGATTTTTTTGAGTTCTTTTATTCATAAGCATTCATTGCTCTAAATTGCAAATGAAATATCCCATAATCTTGGAATTCTTGGAGTATGTAATTTCTCAGACGTTTTAGAACATTCTTTTTTATAATGTAAGGGGTTTTCTGGTGAAATATAAGTATCTTTTAGCTGTGTAACTCTGAATTGCCACTCAGCCAGTAAGCCCAGTGCTTTGGCTTTGGGTAATCATCAGCCATGTAGCACCAAACCTACCAGTTCCCCTCCTTATGAGTCCTTTTTGGTTGAAAAGACTTACAATACTTGGTTGGCAATGATTGTGCTTTTTGGATTATTTACATATCAAAAAATATTGAAGGGCCAGCCCGGTGGCCTAGTGGTTAAGTTCAGCATGCTCTGCTTTGGTGGCCCAGGTTCAGATCCCAGGCACAGACCTACGCCACTCGTCAGCAGCCATGCCATGGCAGCGACCGACAAACAAAATAGAGGGAGATTAGCAACAGATGTTAAGCTCAGGGCACGTCTTCCTCAAACAAAAAGAGGAATATATATTATTTTTATAATTACTTAATATTTTAGTAGAATTCACTTCAGTTGTTTTTCTTTGCACTACCTATTTTTATTTTTATAAGAGATTTTAAGCAAAGAAGACGGTTTTTTGGGGTTGTCTGTGCAGTTTACAACAGTCACTTTCTCTAAAAACTCACCCCTCTGGTGACGGGTGTAATTCTTCCACCTAAAGTTGTGTGTGCCCTACTTGCAGCCTTCCATCCTTTTGGTCACATATAATTGGACTAGGGATGAAAAACAGACTCTAGCTGGATCATTCAGATTTTCCTGGAAATTCAGAATTGGAACTGAGTCACGGCTGGTCTTTAAACTATTTGCTTGAACTGAAATAGTGAAGATTTGGACACATCTGCAGTTATCTTCAGCATTGTGTATGTAGAAATAGAAAAAAGTTGATGTACAGAGAGAAAACGGTATAAATGGACAGAAACAAAGAGAAAAGTCAGAGGCTACTATCTGGATTCTTAACAGCTTTCTGGATCATTATTCCAGGACTTCGTGAGGGCCAGCTATCTTTCAGTGCCATAGTATCCCTCAGTGATCTTCCACTAGGGTTCCTTTTTTTGCTCAGGTTTGCTCAAATTAGTTTCTCTTACTTAAAAACAAAAGAACCTCAACTAAAGAAGCTAGATTAAGCTTAAAACAAAAATAGATGAGTGTGAATATCCGCATGTAGAAGAATGAGGTTAGACCCCTTCCTTACACTGTGCACAGATGGATCACAGACCTAAATACAAGACCTAAAACTGTGACACTCTTAGAAGAAAACATAGGAGTAAATCCTCCTGATCTTGGATTAGGCAAAAGCTTCTTAGATGCAACACCAAAAGCAAAAGATAGATAAACTGAACTTCATCAAAATTAAAAATGTTTGTAGTGCAAATTATGCCACCAAGAAAGTGAAAAGACGACTCATGGAATGTGAGATTAGGCCTGATAAGGGGCTTTTTGAATACTAAAAAAAAAATCCCAGAACAAAAAAACAACTACGCCTCAATAATAAAAAGACAACCCAATTTTTAAATAGGTGAAGACTCTGGATAGACTTTGCACCAAAGAAGATATACAGATGGCCACTAAGTCCATGGAAAGGTGCTGAGCAGGGCCTGGCTGGTGGCGCAACGGTTAAGTTCGCACATTCTGCTTTGGCAGCCTGGGGCTCACCAGTTCAGATCCCGGCTGTGGACCTACGTGTTGCTTTTCAAGCCATGCTGTGGCAGGCGTCCCACATGTAAAATAGAGGAAGACGGGCACAGACATTAGCTCAGGGCCAATCTTCCTCAGCAAAAAAAAAAAAAAAAAAGAAAAGGGGATTGGCAGAGGATGTTAGCTCAGAGCTAATCTTCCTCCAAAAAAAAAAAAAAGGCACTCAACATCATTAGCCATTAAGGAAATAAATGCAAATCAAAACCACAGTAAGATATCACTTCATATCTGCTAGGATGGCTATAACTAAAAAGACAGATAATAATAAGTGTTGACAAGGCTGTGGAGAAATTGGAATCAGCATACATTGCTGATAGGAATGTAGAATGGTGCAGCTACTTTGGAAAACAGTTTGGCATGCTTCAGGTGTTAAACACAGAGTTATTATGGGGCCCAGCAATTCTACCCCAGGCATATACCCACGTGGAACCTACGTCCACGCAAAAACTGGTACACAAGTGTTCAAAGCATTGTTATCTGTAATAGCCAAAAAGTGGAAACAAGCCAAATGTATATCAGCTGGTGAATGGATGAACAAAATGTAGTATGTCTGTAAATGAAATGTTGTTGAGCCATAAAAAGGAATAACGTTGGTACGTGCTGCAGTATGGATGAACCTTAAAAAGATGCTGAGTGAAAGAAGCCAGACACTGAAGACCACGCAGAGCATGATAGCATTTATATGACATGTCCACAGTAGGTAAACCCACAGACACAGAAAGTACATTAGTAATTCCTAGGGGCTAGAGAGAGAGGTAAATGGGGAGTGACAGCTAATGGATACAGGGTTTCTTTTGGGGAAGATGAAAATGTTCTAAAATTAGATTGTGTGGTAGTTGTACAACTCTGAATATGCTAAAGTCCATTGCGTCGTAGACTTTGAATGGGTGAGTTGTATCATGTGGATTATGTCTCAATAAAGCTGTTTTTAAAAGCAGAGAGACAGTAAAGTTAGTATGTTAATTTTGATACAGTCTTCAAAAATAATAGATTTCTACAGAGGTAATTTTTTTACACTTTTTCATAAATGCTTATGCCTAAATAAATGCAGTTTTTCTTTTTTAATAAAATTTTAAAATTCTAAATAGCATATTACTTTGTTTAAAGATAATTTGAACAAAATTTAGTACAGATTGTATTTATCAGTTTGATTGACAGGATAAGTTGAAATGTAGATTTTCCCTAAGCTGTTTCTCTCATTGCTATTACGTTTTTGAGATGAATGGAGACAGTTGTGATGTTATGGAAAGATCTTGGACTTAGCACTTGCTAGAGCAGGACAGACATAGGTGTTCAGTCTATGATCTTGAACGAATTTAATTTCTTAGCGTATTGGTTTCAAAAACTTCAAAATGAAGATCATGCTGGACTAAAAGTTTTTTTTCTTTCTAGCGTTTATAGAAGTTTGAGAAATTTTCCTAAGAAAAATAAGCATAAGTATATTCAGCTTCTGTCGTTTGAATTTGTTTGTCCACACTAATGTACTCTTAGATTTTAAGCCTTTTGCAAACAGAAACAGTGTCCAACTTTGTCTAATGCCTAGTATTATATCTGAGAATGTAGCTTCTCAATTCATATTATTTAAAGAAATTGAAATTTAGTCAACATTATTTGTGACCTTTGAAGTATTAGGTGATAGAAGTCATTGAAATATTAACTGAAAAGCTTATTTTAACCTTCTTAATATATTTCTTTTGTCTACTTAAAATTGTGTCATTAATTTTAACTGTTTTTAGATATTAGTGTGGTATTTACAAATTATGTCAATTCCAGATTAGTGTATAATTTGTTTTTAAAATATGTTAACTGTATGTTATTTTTGACCTTTTAGGGTTTTTTTAATAAAATATATAGTTTTTAATGAGCTCGTAACAGTTAATTTTAGAGAAATCTATAATTGCATCTGGTCTCATGTACTGGGTTCTTTAGTGGCTGATATGTGGCAAATACATTTTTTTTTGTTGCAGTTAAGTGATGATACAAGATGGGTTTTGATTTTCTTTGTTTTAGCTTCATAGCTACATGATCTTAATATGCTAGTTTTTTATTTGCAGAGATCCTGCATATTTTGATGAAAATTGGCTAAACAGAATCAAAACTGAAGTAGGAGATAATTGGAGACTAAAGGTATTTAAAAAAATTTTTCCATGTTAATCAATCTTACGTGTGTATGATATTTGTTGATTTTTGCTCTGGTATGTCCAGTGAGTGTTAGAAACCTAGCCTCTAGTGAAATCATCTAGAATTGAAGATTAGAGGGAGCCTGAAGTTGCTCCCCAAGATACAGTGGAAGTCAGTAAAGCACAGTGACTGAGGGCATGGTCTCTGGAGCCAGAGTGCTTGGGTCCATATCACAGCCCTACCATTTACTATCTCTGGGATCGTCTGTTAACCTTTCTGTGCCTCAGTTTCCCCATTTGTAAAATGACGATTGTAATAGAATCTACTTCACAGAAATAAATGAGTTAATATATGTGATGCACTTAGGATAGTTCAGGACACTTCTAATGTTAGTTGCTAGTGTTATTAATAGTGAGAAAATATTGATCATTATTAACTGTGTCCAAAACACTCAGAGAATGAACTATTTTTATTTCCTTCCTAGTAGTCTTAAGTTCCATTGTTTCTCAAGCTTCTTTGACCAAAACCCCACAATAAGAAATATAGTTTACACTGCAACCTGCTGCCCAGCTAAATGTATATGCATATATAGTTGAACAAATTTTTAACCTTACTTTATGCAGTGATGTTTCTGTTACATTTTTTAAAATACTAGTTGCAACCCACTAAATTATATTTTTGACTTTATATTTTGAAATAATTATAGATTCACAGGGGGCAAGGGTGCAGAAAAAAATGTACAGAGAAGTTCTATGTACCTTTAACAGTTTCTCCAGTGGTAACATCTTGCATAATTATAATACAGTATCAGAACTAGGGAACTGACATTGATACAATCCACAGTTTATTCAAATTTCACCAGTCTTACCCTCTTTTTGAGTTGGTGTGTGCAGGTCTACTGAGGTGTAGATTCATATGAGGACCACCACCATGAAGACAGAGAACTGTTCCATTTCTGCAAAGCCCCTGCTGCTGCTTTTATACCCACATCCACACGACCCCTCGCCCTAATCCTGAGCAACCACTGATTTGTTCTCCATCTGATCATTTTCTTACACTAAATTGATTTTTGTAACCCAGTAATGGTCATGGCTAGCCGTTTGGAAAACTCTGAATCCATTTCTTTTTGATATAGGTTGGTAGAGACTCAGAAATGGAAATGATTAAGCACATGAAGCCCCTGGACTTAAGCTAAGCTTAGTTTGTCTTTATATTTCCCCCATAAAACAAGCATTTGATGAAAAATATTTGATTGCTTAGCTATTGAGCATGCCAAAATCCAATTCTTTCTTTTTTACTAAGCTAGAGTGAATGGACACTGCTTAATGGCACTGTTTTAATTTCTAAAAAGTCTTTCAAGAATAAGCAATTAAATTGATTACTTTTCAATGTTATAACATGTTTAAAACAATTCATGAATGTTTAAAATAATGCTACTAATCATTTTATGTTTGCTTGCTGGCTTGACCAAAGAGAGAGTTGGATGTCCCACCTGCCACACACACAATACGCACATAAACACACCACACTGGAGTGTCACAAGTGTGGCAAAGGCAGTAATATAGAGAAGGGAAAAAGTTTATTATGTTCTTCTAAAAATGTCAGTTCTGATTTGCATTCCTGTTCTCTGTATTTTATCCTATATTTTATTTATTTAATTGTAAGAAACCATTGATTAATAATGAGATTGATAGCTTTTTTAATAGGAAATAAACTATCATTTTAAATGAGCACATTGATTTTTTATAACTTTCTAATTAAAATATTAAGATAGGAAAAAGTGAACATCCTAGAAAAAGGAAATAAAGTATGTATCTTCCATGTCTTCGGATTTTTCCAGAAGTATAAACATTTTAGTTTTATTTGAGATTTTTTTAAAAGTAAGTTTTCAGTTTATTTTCTCCCTTAAAAATAAGTATGTCTTCGGCAGCCCAGGGTTTCACTGGTTCGGATCCTGGGCACGGACATGGCGCCGCTTGTCAGGCCATCAGGCCATGCTGAGGTGGCGTCCCACATGCCACAACTAGAAGAACTCACAACTGAAAATACACAGCTGTATACTGGGGGGGGCGGGGGGGGGCCTTTGGGAGAAAAAGGAAAAATAAAATCTTCAAAAATAAAAAAATAAATAACTGTCTTTGACTAACCACTGGGTTGCATTGCTATGATTCAGCCTATTTTGTTTGATAGCCACAGATACTGTCTTCTATCCTAGGACATCTTCAACTGCTAACATTGGCTAGCAATGGCTGGATAGGTGATCTACAGAATCATATCATATATACATTTAGCTTAACATAAATTCAACCATGTGAGTTGGGTCAAAAAAGGCGGGAGGTGGGGGGTGGTGAGGAATACCAGTTCACAGTATATAGTGCAGGTCATTCTGCCTTTCATTTCACCCCGATGGCATATGGCCAGTAAACCTCTGCTCCAAAGTGAGTGAGTGTTGGGAGATATCTTTTGGTCCTTCATCCTGTCTCATTTCTAGGATGCTTCATATAGCACAAGTATCTTGCAATGCTGAGTGTGATGCTAGCATTTCAAGATTTTTTTTAATCTAATAGCTCCTAAATATTTACTTTGGTGTTCAACTAAAGAAATAGCAGTCGTTTCTGACAGTGGAAGGATTTGGAGACATTATACGTGATAGGTTACTTTAAGAGATTTCCAAGGCCAATTTTTACTATAATTTATTTTTAATGCTCTAACCTTAGAATTTAACCTCCACTTTTCTAAGGAAAACAGCGCTGAACTTGGTCTTCATTAAGGGTGGCATGTTTTTTCTTCACCTGGAGAAAATCTAGATAATTTAATCTTACTGTTAAGTCTTGTTCAGTTACCCTCCATTTTTTCTCAGTGTGGTCATAACATTGAAACTTTAAGATAATTGGAGACTTAATTTGTTTTATAAATTTTTTATATCAAATAAATTAAGCCATTGATAGTCCATAATAATTCATATAGGCTATTAAATTTTATTGTTTGTGTTTACTTTATGATTAAAATGATTAGTTGATTCAGAAATTTTTCTGTTAAACTATATTTTGATCTGTGCTTGCCTTTTACTCAGTTGTTTTCTCTCTTTTTAAACAGATAAGCAATCTAAAGAAAATTTTAAAAGGAATCCTGGATTATAATCATGAGGTAAGGACTTTTTTCTCATTCTATTTGAAGTGTTACTATAGGATAGTTTAATTGTATAATATTTTACAATATTACTTGAGACAAGTAAAGGAAAAATTACCTCAAAATTAATAATCAGTTTATCTTCGTTGTATAGATTCTAGGATGTTCGTTCAAACTGGCATCTATTAGGGGGTCACAAGAGAAATATCTTTCTCACTGTATTATGGATAGTTTGTAGATATTTATGTTAAAGTTTCTGTTAAAGTTTACTTTGTGCTACCTGTTAACTCTCTCCTCTCTTCCCTTACTTGTGAAGGTAGTTTATAGTACCTGCATTATTGTAACCAACTCCCTTGCCTACTTCCAGTTTATTCCTTGGCAAACCCCCATCCCTATATTAACTCAGTTTATCCTCTGGGTCTGCTTCAGAACAGTCAAGACATTCCTGAGGAAAAGAATCAGGCAGTGGAACTAGTTTCCTTTAAATGTTATGACCACAGGTATCAAATGGACGCAGCCCTAGAAACCTGTGTTGTTTCCTTACTGGTTCCCCCACAAGCTTGCCTGCAGTTTTACCTGTGTGTATGCTTCAGTTATCTGTCTTCATCATCTCAGTAAGTGACCCTACCATCCACCCTACTGCTCAAGCCCAAAACCTAGAAATCATTTTACGGTCCGTCCTTCTTTTGATATCGTCAGCCAGATCTATTAGTTAGACCTCCAAAATATAGCTTTTCTCTGTCTTTACTGCTGCCACCCATACCAAGCCATTATTAGCTCTTGCTTAGATCACTGGAGACCCTGATTTCACTCTTGCCTCTCTACAGTCTGCTCTATACTCTAAAGCCAAGATGATTTTTAAAAATAAAAATTAGATTCTGTCACTTTCCTCCTCAAAGTCTTTCATGGTTTCCTATTGTGTTGAGAATCAAATCCTTACTTCTTACCAGAAGCGACCAGGTACCGCCTGACCCCTTTAACCTCCTCTTATGCTGCTCTTCCCCTCACCCGTAACACTACAGCCACATTCATCTTGTTTCTGTGCTTTTAGGATCTTCTTTTTTCAGTGTAGAGTTATCAGACAGTGACCTTATATTTACATGTGAGTCATTTCTTTTGGGGCCAGTCAGTTTCCCCATACAAAAGTCTTCCATTCTCCTACCTGATATAAGTGTCTTGCTATCAGCGTTTTGGAGTCAAATGGAGTGGAGGTAGCTAGAAGGAATCTTACTGTCGGGAACATGAACCTGTATTTAATCTCCACTCTTTCTGGTACCCTCTGGTTCAGAATCTCTCTAGCTCCACTTCTTCAGAGGGTACACATCCAGTCTTTCTAGGGGTGGTAGAGGGATCGATAGTACTCAGTATCTTTGCTCAGTATGCATACCACATATCAGATTAGGGCCTAAGTTGCTGTGACTCAAGATAGTTATATCTTAGGTATAGGAGGTAAAAGTAGAAATTGGGAAGTGAGAATGACATGACAGCTCTGGGCTTAGCGGTGAGTTTCCATTGCTGACAAATTAATCTCTATCACATATTTCATTTGTTCATATAAATGTAAATGCAATTCTAATCCTTTTGTCTCCATTCAGATTTTAGGACAGCAAATTAATGACTTTACCCTTCCTGATGTGAACCTTATTGGGGAGCATTCTGATGCTGCCGAGCTTGGAAGGATGCTTCAGCTCATTTTAGGCTGCGCTGTGAACTGTGAACAGAAGCAAGGTAATTTATTTCAAGTTAGTGTATGTATGCATTTAAAATAACAAGGAAAGTAATATATATTGTATGTTTTATATATAAATCACCAGTACAAATGATAGCATCTTTTTAAGGCCGCTCTCAAAGAATGCCATTTTCTATGATTTCGCTAATTTGTTTGCAAGCATAAAAGAGTTTTGCAAGTTGTGATAAATGTGATTGTGATGACACTCTTTCCCATTCTGCAAGATTACATAATTCTTTGAGTAGATTACTTTTAACTACACTGAATGTAGTGAAATTTACTGTTAATTGGACGAAGTCCAGCTAAATTAATTAATAATATCAGTAATAATGATAATGATATACTGGATCAATTCAGCTCTAGGAACTTAAAATTGGATATTTTAGATTGCAAGTACAGAGCATTTATTTCACAAATATTTACTGAACTCATGCATTATGCTGGAGCTAGGAACACAGTGTCAGGTGGAACAGACACGATGCCTGCCCTCCTGAACTCGTAGGTGAATGGAGGGGGCGGGCAGTAAATAATGCCACATGTAACTGTCTGAGTGTGATGAGTGCTTGAAGGTAAAGTGTATGGGGACAGTCTAGGTTTGGGTCAGGGAAGTTATTTAAGCAAAGATATGGAGGGTACTGTATTAAGAGGAATCCGAATCGTAGAAACTGAATGTTAGAAAGACCTCCATTACCTTTGAGGGATTAAGAAAACCCACAACTATAATTGGAGAATAGTGAAGAAGGTGCAAAGAGATGAAGCAGGAGGAAAGTTAGATAGGGAGTGCTAAATGATGATGGCACAGTATTTTACTGTTACTTACATGACTTTTGAAGAAGGTGGGGTTTTTTTTAAGCCTAAAGGTATTTTTCTTCTTCCTCCTACCCCATCTCTGGTCATGCAAAACAGATTTTTATTAATTTGTCTGTACTTTTTTGGTGTTCTAGTGATGTTTAGTAATAGTTAACATTGTTTTCTTGAAGCTATGGCTAGTTTTATTGGTCTCTGATTCAGGAATTTTTTCTAACAATGTATTTATTTCTCTCCAGCCCCATTGCTTTTAGATTTTAGCATGCCATGGTCTTTTCGTAAATTTTACTTTTTTTTATTCAGTGCAACTCAAAATTTAAATAGAGAATTTTCTACATTCGTGATTTTTGTATATTATTGAAATGTCTAAGTTTTTTTGTCAAATATTAGACGATTGATATAAATAAGATTCAAGACATTAAATCTCTAAGTAGATGTTTTGATTTTAAAGGGTGGATGAAAAATTATTTAATGTAATTCATTGAGTTCAGATGGCTTCTTATGTATTCTGTTAGGAGATTCATTAATTCTTAGGATTATCCTTAATACATAAGGGTCCTTGGAAGTGTATAACTGTTAAGACTTGGCTAATTATATTTATTACAGGGTAGGAATAGGAAAATAAGGATGTTACCTATATCCATATTCCTATGGAAAAGAAGACAATCATATTTATTTATTGAGCTTGTCGCATAGACCAAAGTTCTGTATAAAACCCTGACTCAGTTTTTCCACTGACATTGTATGTAAATGATGAAAACTTTGAACAGTATTTTAACATCATACTTATCTGGAGGGTGTTCTCTGCTCTCAGGAACACAGTTGAGAACAAAGATTCAAATTAAATGGATTTTTGAATTAAGTATTACCAGTCACTGCACGTTGATGATACAAAATCAGGATATAAAACCTGATAGTCACAAGGAGTAAATGAAGTTGTCTGGGTGTATTTGCTTTGTAATCCATGAAGTACTATACAAATAAAAAGGGCTTTGTGTTTAGATCATTTTTTCAATTAGAAGAAGGGAGGGCAATCGCTCAGAAAGTTGACTTTACATTTATCTTGGCTATCTGACTTCTCCATTTGGAGCAAATAAGTGGTGGTAAATTTGAAAAAGCAAAGATTAGTAGTAGAAAACACAGTTAATAACAATATTTACCAGGGCCAGCCCGTGGCCCAGTGGTGAAGTTCATGTGCTCTGCTTCAGAGGCCCAGGGTTTCCCTGGTTCAGATCCTGGGCGCGGACATGGCCCCACTCATCAAGCCATGCTGAGGCGGCATCCCACACAGCACAACCAGAAGGACCTACAACTAGAATATACAACTATGTGCTTGGGGGCTTTGGGGGGAAAGAAGAAAGGGAAAAAAGAAAAAAGATCGGCAACAGTTGTTAGCTCAGGTGCCAATCTTAAAAAAAAAAAAAAATTTACTGTGTGTCTCCCTTCTGCCTGGTACTCTACTGAGCACTAACAGAACAAAAAATACTGTTTTCAGATTAGGAAATTAAGACTCATAAGTTTATGTGACTTGCCCAAGATGTCGTGCTTTTGAGAGCCTAGGGAGGGACAAAAGCCCATGTCACTTCCACTTGTAGACTTAACACTCTTTATACTGAACAGCACTGTAGATTTTGGACCTAAAAGCTAGCTTTTCAGGATAAACTCCCTGACATGGCACACCTCATTTTCCAGCATTGCCTCATAGATCTGCACCTCGTAATCATAGATGCTTGTATTTCAGACATTTAAGATTTGTAAATTTTTTTATTTTTCAAAAATTGTACATTAATGTAGTTCTCATCATCATTTTATCATTTAGCATTCTACGGTGTTCGCGGGGAAGGGCCTTGACGTGGCAACACCGCTTCTTAACTAACGCTTCCCCTCTCGCACCTTACTAACTGCACAGCCTCTCTGCTCCCACTGCTGTCTTCACCTCCAGGAAGCCACCATGAATTTTCCTTCCCCGTTCTCAGGGCCACTGCTGCTTCTCTTCTGTGTTCACAGACTTTTATTTGGGGGCTGTTTAGTCATCCTAGCTGGGCCATTCTCTCCATAGCCTGGAATTCTGTTTCATGCCTCTGAGCAGAATATCTAGAAGCACTCCCTTGTATTCCAGCACTCCTTTGAGGGGCTCCCCATTAACAACAAAACAAAACAAAACAAAACGAAAAATCTAGCTTAGACTAAAGGAATTTTCTTTTAACCAAATAGTGGGTCAGTTAGGATATATTTCTACTGCTGGCGGAAGCACAGTGCCTGTGATCTAAGTGTGCTGTGTATATTTGTGTCACCACACATCTGACTGGGTACAAATATCCTTAGGACATGACTTCCTGAAAAATATGTTTTGCATTAACTAAAAGCTTTGGCATTAACAACCAGAATGTCAAAATGTCATAATTTAATAATGCTTTCAAAATACTTTTTTTTTTTCAACAAGTTACCTGTCAAGCACAGGATTAGAATTTGGCATTTCAAATACATGTCTCTTTCTTGCCAAAAGATCACTTGAACGATTTCATATTAAGACTCCTTCATGTAATAGTTGGAATGCTGAGACAATTTTTCGGTGTTTGTTTTTTGGATGTGTTAGGGGGAAAGGCAGGTTGAGGCTAAAATTTCCTAATCACTTTACCCTTTTAAGTGTTTCTTATTAAAACATTTACCATATTTGTTGGAATCCAACTGGCCTGCTGATTTTTTATGTGTAATGACACTTTCATTATCCATTGTTGGATTTGAAAATAACGAAAACTACTTCCGGGGCTTTTTTAGAAGGCAAGAAATTGTTTTTTCCAACTTCGTCACTACTGATAGCCAAGAGAGTCTTCTCTTTCTTGGCAGTGGTGAGAGTAGTAAGATGGATGGAGTTGGTGCTTTAGTATATTAAAGATGTGGGTCACTGGGGCCGGTCTCGTGGCCGAGTGGTTAAGTTCTTGCGCTCCACTTCAGGAGCCCAGGGTTTCGCCGGTTCGGATCCTGGGCGCAGACATGGCACCGCCCATCAAGCCACGCTGAGGCAGCGTCTTACATGCCACAATTAGAATGACTCACAATTAAAAATACACAACTATGTACCTGGGGGCTTTGGGGAGAAAAAGGAAAAATAAAATCTTTAAAAAAAAAAAAAGACACGGGTCACTGTTTTAAAGCCCAGTGTTCTACAATATTTGTTTAACTATGTTATCAGTTTCTACCTCAAATTCATCATAATTTTTTGTTCTAAGCAGCTTTCAGGTTCATTAAGTTTTTTCTATAGTAGAAAATAATAAGGTAGGGATTATACGCAATTCAATGCTTTAATGTCACATAAGAATAAAGCCCAAACTTCAGAGTTTTTTAACATGCAGCAAAGAATAATGTGAAAGACAGATAATGTTCAGATTTTAAGAACAGTAATATGGAGTCCTTTCCATCCTGGCTTTCAGCTTTCCTATTTCATTTGTTTTAAGTTCCTGAGATCCTGCATATTTGTGACCTTTAGCTGTAGCCTCAACTTTATAAGGAATGGTGGGTGGGGGGAACATTATCTGAAGGAAAGATAAATACTGTGATTCTCAGCTTTTACTTTACCTATGGCACATATGTTTGACTATATATATGAGGAATTCCTAGGAAGACTCAAAACAGGAAACTCCTTATAAGAATCATGAAGTGTTAGCCTTTATTCCCTTGACTATCTTTAACTTGAACAGTGACATTCCAGATTGTTCTTGTTTTCAGAGTACATCCAAGCCATTATGATGATGGAGGAATCTGTTCAACATGTTGTCATGACAGCCATTCAAGAGGTACGTTGGAGCTTCGTACTTACAGTTTATGAAAAATTGAAGGAGCAAACATGAGTTTAAATAATTGAGGTAGAAATTTTAAAAAGAAATTCCCCTACTCACTTTTTGAGAATCTTTTCTTTATACTTAGGATATATAGCTTCTCATTTTTATTAAATCATAGTCCTGTAAATTTCTTATTTTTATTTAAATCTCAAACATTTATCTTGCAGGTATAGATATTCAGTAACTATTCCTAATTTTTTTAAATGGCCTGATGAACTAGGAATAGTAGACTAATTCCTAAAGCCGTTATAAATAACATTTATCTTAAACCAGCAGTCTACCTCACACTTAACTATTGGTTTCTTGTTTGGTAGAAAACAGATCTTCAACTCCAACCATACCCAAAGCAATTTCTAGGTGAATGTTTATATTGAAACTGTTTGGGAGGAATCCTCTACCCTTCCAAATTCTTGGCTGAGGCTTCTGTAGCAAAAGACAGAGTGAGAAGTGAAAAGCGTACAAATTAATTTAATATAAATTTTATGACACAGAGCCTTTGCAAGAAGTGAAGGCCAAAGAAGTGTTTAAACCTGTGTTTTGATGCTAGGTTTGAGGAAGAGTGGAGAGTCGTGGAAAAATGTCACATGGCAAAAAACAGAGTTTAAGCTAAGTGTAGTAACCTGGGGGAAACAGCAAGTCCTGTTCATTCAGATTGCTTTCAGTGTCCCTCTGTTTTCAGAGATAAGGATGCTCATTTTCTCTGAGTGTAGGGGGGCCACCTATCACATGAGGGTCTTAAGATCTGCTTCACTGGAAGGTCAGAAAATCTTCCTGGTACCTGCTGCTTCTCAGATTCCTTCAGCTTGAAATATTCAATATGCCAATGTGCCGTATTTTGGAATAGCATGTCCTGAACTCCATCAAATGTAAGACCTAAAACTGTAATAGTAAAAATAAGATAAGGATTAATAACTAGTTGGTCTCAGGATGTGAGGATGCATATAACATACAAGTAATGGAAGAAACCCTTAAGGAAACAAGAAGACAGTATAGGACATGAATATGCAACTAACAGGGAAAAAAATACAACAATCGTGAAAAATGCTAAATGCAAATTAAGATAAAGTGTTTTATTTTAATTCTACCAACTGACTATAATCCAGGGATTCCCGCTACCCCCTCAGGTTTGATAATTCGCTAGAATTACTCACAGAACTCAGGAACCATGACAGTTTTGTTATAGCAAAAGGATACAAATCAGAATCAGCCCTCCCTCCCAAAAAATGCATAGAGGGAGGTCTGGGAGTATCCCAAAATTTCTGTTGTCCCCTCCCCATGGAATCAAGATATCACCCTCCTGGCACATTCATGAGTGACAATAGTACTTCCAGCCAGGGAATCCCCCCTGAACTTTTAGGTCCAGAGTTTTTATTGGGGTTTCATTTTATAGGTATGATTGATTGGATCATTGCCCACGAGGTTGAACTCAATTTCCAGCCCACCTCTCCTTCCCAGAGGTCAGGCTGATATCATGTGGCTCAAAGCCCCAACCCTCTAATATGGTCAGTCTTTCTGGCATGGGCAGCCGCCAACTGGAGTCATCTCCTTAGCTTAAACTATCTAGAGGCCCACCATGAATAACAAAGACACCCGTATTAGTAGGGAAATCCCAGAGATCCAGAGGCTGCCTCCCAGTAACTGGGAGTAAAGGCCAGCCAAATTATTACACAGGACCTTTCAAAAAGCAAAGCAGTTAAAAGATCATCACTTTGGCAATCAGCATGGATGATAGGAGGGTAAACTGGTGTATCTTTTTAAAAATGTTATATTCAGGCCAGCCCCGTGGCCTAGTGGTTAAGTTTGCCACACTCCACCTTGGCAGCCTGGGTTTGGTTCCTGGGCATGTACCTAAACCACTCACCTGTCAATGGCCATGCAGTGATGGAAGCTCATGCACAAAATAGAGGAATACTGGCAACAGATGTTAGCTCAGGGCTAATCTTCCTCAGCAAAAAAAGTTATACCTTTATATCCTGTAAGATATAAGGTGAATGTTAAAATACCAAAATGATGATCACCCAAGCAAGATAGAAGTTTAATTTGCTTTTAAGTGGTCCTGAGTTGGCTCTGTAGTCATCAGGGACCTAGCTTTCTTCTATCTTATTGTCTGCCATCCTTAATACATGATTCTCGCCTAGTGGTTCAGCTGTGACTTCGCAAGTTTCAGCTATCACGTTCACATTTCCAACCAGCAGGAAAGATTGAAGGAGAGGTTATCCACTTCTAGTAAACTTTCAGGAATTCTCACTCTTATTAGCCAGATATTACTCACATAGCCACACAGGGAAACTGGGAAATGTGGTCTTTATTCCAGGTGGTCATGGACACAACCAAAATTTGAAAATTTTGTTACTAAACAAAAAAGAATAAGGGGGCCATTAACAGTTCTACCTTACTGTAATTTTTGCTGTGTTTCTACTTTCAGGAATTATCCTAAGGAAATCTGAAATACAAGGATACGTAAGAGTAGTAGTAAACGTTTATGCAGCACCTATGATGAGCTAGGTAGTACTCGTACTTACTAAGCACATTCCATCTATTAACTCATTTGAAATTCACTGCAGTTGTAATTCTACTGAAATGTACACTTAAAAATTATTAAAATGGCAAATTTTATGTTATGGATATTTTACAATAAAAGAAAAAGAAAAAGAATAACTAATCCTTGAGGTATGTGCTGTTATTGTCCTCACTTTATAAAAGAGAAAATTGAGGCATAGGCATGTGAATAACTTGATCAAGTTCACACAAGAAGTAGTGGCAGAATCAGAACTCAGATCTAAGCAGTCTGAATCCAGAGCCTACGCCCATAACCACTGTGCTGTGTTGCCTCAAGATTATTTCAGCATTATTTTCTAGCACTGAAACATTAGAAATAATCTAACTGTCTAGCAGTAGGGGAACAGATAAATAAATTATGATGCAATAATGTATTGGCATATTACATAGGCATTAAAGCTTATTTTTGAAAAACATAATGATGTGGGGAAACCTTACAATATATTTGGTAAGAAAAGGTAGGCTAGAGAGCACAAGAGCAGTATAATCTCATTTCTGTTAAAAATTAAAATGAGTAAAAACAAACTTGCCAAAATGTTAACTATCTCCACATGATTGGATGTTCTAAACTCTTTTCTCTGTTTTCCAATTTTTCTATAATAACAAGTATTGTATCTATAATCAGTATTTTTAAAATTAAAGTCTGTGACTGAGTGATTTTCACTTTATGGATCTATCCCAGGGAATTCTTTAGAAATTCAGACCAAGATTGGGCACAACAGTGTTTATCAAACTATTTGATATTAACAGAAATGTGAAGACATTGTATATCCCTTGGTAAACAAGTGTTTAAATCATGATACTTCTTGCCCATGGAATATTATATAGCTGATAAAAATTTGTTTAAAAAAAGGGAGGGAGTTGTCTTATGACAAAGGGAAAACATTTAAAATGTCAAGTGAACAAAGCAATACATACAGTTAGATCGTAAGAATAGATTATGGGTCTATTCATTTTATTCATTTAGTAAACACTTATTGAGCACCTACTATGCACCAGGAGCCGTAGTAGGCATTAGGGATGCAATTATGAAAAACATAGACATGGTCTCTTGCCTCACAAAGTGTAAGTCTCATGGGAGAAATGAATGAACAAGCAATTCAGATACTTGCAAAGTATTCAAAATGAAAAGTACCCTGATGGGGAAAATGTAGGAGTACCTCAGGGAGTATTGGACTCAGTCTGGAGACGTTCAGGAAGGCTACTCAGAGGAAGTGTCGTCTAGACTGAGCACTGAAGGAGGAGATGAGGTCAGAAAAGGGCAACAATTGTTCTGAAGTCCAGGCGACACGAATAAGCAAGACCTGCACGGCGTGTTGGAGGCACTGAAAGAAGACTGCCTGTACGTGCAGAGTGCTTAGACATGAAATGAGACGTCAGATTATTAGGATATTGAGCAGTTTTGTTAAAAGAGTTGGAATTTTGGAAATTAGTGAACAGATTTTAAGGAGAAAGTGCATTGAAGTCTGTATTTGAGAAAATCCATGCAGTGAGAAGAGTGGGTTAGAGGAAAACAAGGCTAGAAAAGAGGAGAGCAGTTGAGAGACTTTAATAATTGTCCAGTGAAGAATGATGGAAGGCTGAACTAGGTGATGGCAGTCAGGGTGGAGAGAGGTGGACAGATCTGAAAAGCTCAGAGCTCCAGTCAGCAGGCTTGATGACCTAGGAGGAAGGCAGGGGTAGCTGGGTGAAATGATGGGACCGAAGAAGGGTTTTTGTAAGATGGTAGTTTCTCTCTCTCTCTCTCTCTTTTTTTTAAGGCACATTCTATTTTTATGTCTTTATTAAGGTGCTACTGACTTTGATTTTTTTTTTTTATTGTGGTAAAATACGCATAACATAAAATTTACCAGTAGTGATATTTAGTACATTCGTAACATTAGGCAAACATTACCACTATTTAGTTTCCAGAACTTTTTCATCGCCACAAAAGGAAACCCTGTACCCATTAAACAGGCAAGACTCATTTCCTCCTCCCTTCAGCCTTGGCAGCCAGTAGTCTGCTTTCTGTCTCTATAAATTTTCCTATTCTGGATATTTCATATAAATGGAATCATATGATATGTGGCCTTTTATGTCTGGCTTGTTTCACTTAGAATGTTTTCAAGGTTATGTTGTAGCATGTATCAATACTTCGTTCCTTTTTATGGCTGAGTAATCTACTGTTGTATGGATTTACCACATTTTGTTTGTCCATTTGTCAGTTGATGGGCATTTAAGTTGTTTCCACCTTTTGGCTATTGTAAATAGTGCTGCTATGAACGTTAGTGTATAGGTTTTTTTTGAACACCTGTTTTTAGTTATTTTGGATATATATCTAGAAATTGAATTGCTGGGTCATACAGTAATCCTATGTTTAACCTTTTGAGAATGCACCAACCTGTTTTCCATGGGAGGTGCACCATTTTACATTCCCACAAACATTGCACTAGAGTTTTGATTTCTCCACCTCCTTGCCAACACTTGTTATTGTCCATCTTTCCGATAATAGCTGTCCCAGTGAGTCTGAAGTGGTATCTCATTGTGGCTTATTTGCGTTTTCCTAAACACTAATGATGTTGAGCACCTTTTCATGTATTGGCCATTTGTGTGTTATCTTCTTTAGAGAAATGTGAATACAGTCAAGTAAATGATAGTCTTTTAACTATTTAAATGGTAATAGGAAGAAGGCACAAGAAAGAGAAAGTAGAGGTTGAGATAGAACGAAGAGGATGATAAATGGTACAGGGTCTGTGAGAAGCTGGGGAGAGACTGGGTTGAGAGCACAAGTGGAGGGATTAGTCTTAGATGGGAAGAATAGCACTTGTATTATAACAAAATCGAAGAAGGAAAGGATGGGCATGAATGTTGCCAATTTTGTAGGTTAAGGTATAGGAAATTGGGGAAATTCATATCTGGAAGCAAGGTTGGGTGAAGAGTGGGGGAATTGGTGAGGTTAGAGAAGTAGGAAATGTTTGGAATAATGTTTAAAGGGAATCAAGAGGCTGCTGACTGGGGAAGCGTAACTACTTTTTGGGCAACTTTGAAGGCCCAGTTGAGATTCGAAACTATGTATTAATAGTGTTTTATGATTTTTAAAACTTTTTTACTCTCTCAGTACTTGGCAGTCAGGGTATATAGCCAGAAGAATTAGGTAGTTGGATTGAACTTGCATTGAGATTTTGCTGGGAAGAAGGAATTGAGGTAAGAGGAGAATTGATTATATTGACAGAAGTCATCAACATAATAGACCACGAAATCTAAGCTAGAAAGAGAAGATAATTGATTAAACAAATGACAAACCATGGAAGCTAAAGTGGGGAAGGGGAGATTTCCAAAAACAGGTTGATATTAGAAAAAAGAGGAGTGAACTTCAGGCAGGCAAAACAGTGATGTTCACTCAAGAGTCTAAGCAAAGTAAGGAAGAAAATGAATATAAGGACAATGAAAAGCAGGGAGAGAGTGGAGAGGTCTAGGGCCTGGAAGTGCTGAGGAAGTCGAGGAACAGATAGACCAGATGTAACTGAACAAGAGACTTATGAAGGGAGCGGAATACCTAGGTTTTTATTCAGAGGTGTTGCTGTGTTCTGAAAAGGACTACAGTGTAACAATAGAAGAAAAAACACTGAGAGAAAATACTTCCACTTCCCTCTCCTTCCTGCCTCTGAATTAGATACTTCCTCTCTGAATATCTGTCACAACCCTTATCACACCATAATGGATTTGTCTTTCTCGCTTGAACTGTGCCAGACCCATGGTTGGCACAGGTAGCTTCTTAAATATTTCACAGTTTTAAAGGTGGTTATTTCTAGATGGTAGAATAATGGGTTTTCTGTCTTTATGTTTTTTTTCTGGATTTTATTTTCTGTACAATGGATATTGTTTCAGTTGGAAGAAAAGTCTTTTGAAAATCTTTTTATTAATGTCCTCAAAATAAAAGCATAAAAATTGAAGCCGGTATTTTTATTCTGAGAATTTCCCCCCATATTTATGCCCAGGGACTTTGACCTCTTCTCATTACGTTAATGTAGAGTAGTGGTTCTCAGACTTCGGTATGCATCAGAATCACTTGGAGGACTTAAATTAAACAAGTTGCTGGGCCCTAACCCCTAGTTTCTGATTCAGTAAATGTGGGCTGGAACCCAAGAATTTGTGTTTCTGACAGATTCTCAGGCAATGCTGAATGTTGTTGGTTTGGGGACCTCACTTTGAAAACCACTGATCTTGAGAAAAAGATACAGCTGAACATAACATTTCAGTTCTCTAGAGAGTGGGATGAAGGCTGAGATTACAATATCTCTCAACAGCACATCCCCACATTTCTAATTGTCCCTCTCTCTTTTGTCCTCAGACAGAACATAAGAAGGAAACAATAGAAAATTGGGCCCATTTGAATCTGCCCCTGACATTTGTCACAATCGGAATTTTATCCCCTTCTCCCTCAAATCCTCACACACCCTTTGGACCTTCTCTCCTTGAAACACAAGGGTGAGAGAAGCTAAAACAGATTCGTGTGTGCGTGTTATTAAACTGTAGCCAGTTAATTCTGGCTAATGTTGATGTTGCCCACATTTGTTCTTTGGAAATAGTTACTTAGTGTTACCATATTTTTACTGAAAAGTCAATGTTTTCAAATATTTAGCCACATTTTTAACTTAGAGACTTGTCTTTTTAGTAATAAGAATAAGTAATAGTTGATTCTTATGCCTGGACCTACAGTGACAATGAGCGCCAGAATTTAGACGTGTAATTTTAAGTGAAGGCATTATCCTGAGTGAAAAAAAATTTCCGGAGTGAGAAACTTTCATGTATAAGAAAATGTTCCTTTTACCTTTGTGTTTTCATTTTAATTTTTATAATTCTTTAGTGGCTGAGTGTTCATGTTTGTTGTGTAAGTATATTGTATAGAATGTCTCTTTTGTCTCATAGTTATAATCATTTAAATCTTAATTCCAGCTGATGAGTAAAGAATCTCCTGTCTCTGCTGGAAATGATGCCTATGTTGACCTTGATCGCCAGGTATTTGCATTGTTTTTATCCATGCAAAGATCGAAAAGGATAAACTGTAGATATTAATGAAAAGAATGTTTCGATTGAAATAGCTTATGAAATGTATTGGTGTAGTTCTTTATTATTTATCTAAAATTCAAGAACTGAAGCCACTTTACTAATAGATATTACACATTTGTAATTAAATTTGTAATTAAAGTGTTATTGCATAACCCACTTTGAAATAAATTAACTTATTTAACTTATTGTAATTCATGTTTTCTAGTCATGATTTTTCTTTTTTCGTTAGTGATACTTTCTAAATGCCACTTTTAACACAATAGATGCATTCCTGGGAAGTTGTATGCATTTAATCTTATGATGTATTAATCATACAAAAGATATTTTACCTTTTATTTAATGGTATTCTTCAATTGAAGATATCTCCTCTACCCTTTATCTTGTGAAGAGGTGAAGATTTGTCAATACATATTTAAATGCACTAGGGAACTTTATTTTTAAATGAACTCTGCAGTGTATTGCAGTTTTAACAGAAAAGTTATTTTGTAATTTTAATTTTATTTTTTAATAAAATGCCGTTACTTACATTGTCAGTTTCTATGTTCCAGCTATTCTGGGACATCTGTTCCAAAGCATGAACAGAAATCTTTGTATTCTTTGTCTTCTCTCATTTCTTTCCCATGATTTCTAAATGTTTTGCAGGAAAATCTTTGGATGTGCTATAATTTTAACCCAAGTTGTAATTTATCTTTCCTTTGCCTTATGGTGTTTGATTTTAAAGTTGTCACCTTGAATGCGTTTTTTTGTAATCAATTTTTTCTTTGGTTTTAAAAATTAATTTTAATTATTTTTTGTCATACTTTGCTAACTTAGAGTTTGTGTAATAATGGGACACAATTTGGGAATGTTTGGTTTGTGTTGAGAATCAGAATAATAAAAATCTTTTATTTTAAAACTGATATACAAATTATCACAAAGATTTAATGTGACTAAAAAACTTGTGTTGAAATACACTAGTTGTATATTTTAACACTTGAACCGCTATTCCTCTAGTGCAGACATATGTCACCAAGGTTAAATTTCTACCTTATTACAGAATCAACATTGCCAAGAGCCAAATAGCCCAGAGAGAAGACGACATGTAAGAAAACTTGTTATGAGGAAAGAACAGAAAAGACAAGACTTAGGACTAAAAGATGTTTAAAGTTAGAAGTGCAGTCTTTTGACTCTTGGCAGAGGGTTCTTGATTTCTCTCTGCTTCTCAGAAAGAAAAGGGAAAAATGTTTTATTTCAATATTGTACATATGTAATTATTAATTGTTGCCACTTCATATTGAAGTGTTTATTGTATCTCTTTGTTTCTAATCAGTTGAAGAAAACTACAGAGGAACTAAATGAAGCTTTGTCAGCAAAGGAAGAAATTGCTCAAAGGTGCCATGAATTGGATATGCAGGTAAGAGGTCTGTTCTGTGTACCGCCTGTGAAATGCACTTCTGTAAGTACCCCCAAATGTGCTGTGTACTGCCACACAGTACAGTTTGACTATATAATGCAACCCTAGTTAAAGACAAAAAAGGAAAACAGATTTCTGGTTAAAGATAGTAGACTGAGCAAAGATATTAATTTTCTTTCCTTCCTGCAACTGCATTAAATTTATAATAATGAATTAAAATGATGTAAGCCCACAAGAAAAGAGAAAGAGGAGGGGTAAAGAAGAGACAGAGGAGCTATCAGTGCCAGCTCTCAGGAGGGGTGAGGGAGATTTTTAAAAGCCCTGATCTGTAGTGTTTGCCAATTTCTGTAGTATGAATACTCACTTAGTGGTCAGTTTGAAGGTATTAAGGGTTTAACTCACAAGACTCAGCTCATAAGACTCCTGAATATTTAAAAATCAGCTTGGGTGTAGCCAGCAACGGCACACCACTAGTTTTCATCAACCTCTGAAGCCAAAAGATATTTAGAAAAGTGCTGAATGGCTAAAAAGAGTAAGGAATGCAGTGGGCAACAACACCCGTAGAAGGGGAAGGAGGCAGCTGCTGTAGCAGAACCCGGAGAGTCCACAGATAATGATGAAAGGCTGAAGTGAGGCTGGAGCGAGAGGTATACAGAGGATAGTTGGGCCCCATCATCAACCCTGTCACTCACTGCATGTAGACTGACCTATCACCAGGTTCCCAATCAGAGGGTTCTTTTCTAAAGTAATTAAACAGAAGTATAGGGAAATTAGACTGAGTATTAGTATTGCAAGGTAAGGTCCTTTTCATTTCAACCTTCCTAGGTTCTCTAATTTAGTTTCATGTAGATAAGCCCTAAAGTGAAACCCATGCTTGCATAGCTTCCAGTTACCTTTGCTGTTGACTAATTCTTAAATGTGAGGAAATCTGCATAACCAAACGAAGGATCAAGATAAACAGGAAGCTAGCCCTAGAGGAAGTAGAGAAAATTTGGATAGTAGAAGAGATTTTTCTTTTTAATCTAATACCCTCAGTGAAATTAGGAAAGATATTGCATCTATAAAATAAGGATAAGATTCTATTTTAAAAAGGAAAAGTCAGAGATCAAGAAACACTTAAGTAGGGGCTGGCCCTGTGGCTTAGTGGTTAAGTTTGGTGTGCTCTGATTTGGTGGCCCAGGTTCACAGGTTTGGATCCCAGGTGTAGACCTACACCACTTGTCAGCCATGCTGTGGCAGCATCCCACATACAAAGTAGAGGAAGATTGACACAGATGTTAGCTCAGGGTGACTCTTCCTGAAGCCAAAAAAGAGGAAGATTGACAATGGATGTTAGCTTAGGGCAGATCTTCCTCAGGAAAAAAAAAAAGAAACACTTAAGTAAGTTAACAATAGAATTGTCAAAATAAAAAATTCAATAGGATAAAGATAAAGTCAAAGAAATCTCTCACATATAAGATGGAAATAAGAAATAAAAGTATTTGTCTGGCAGAGAAAGACAAACTCTGTATGACTCCACTCATAGGTGGAAGTTAAACATAGAGACAAAGAGAATTGATTGGTGGTTACCAGGGGAAAGGCGGGGTGGGGAGAGGGCACAAAGGGTGAAGTGGTGCACCTACAACAAGACTAACAATAATGTACAACTGAAATTTCACAAGGTTGTAAACTATCATAATCTTAATAAAAAAAAGTTAAAAAAAAAAAGTATTTGTCTGGGATTTACCTCAAAATCAGGGAGGTGAGGGGAGTGGATAGAGGTGTGGATGAGACATAATTGGCCATGTTTTAATAACTCTTGAACCTGGGTAACAGATACACAGAGTTCACAATATTTTATGCTGGAAGCATTTTACTTTGAAAGGCGTAGGAGTCAGTCATTGCTTTGGATGTATATAGGAGGGAGTGTAATCCTAGCATATTTGTTGGGTTATATGGTAAGTAATATTTATCTAGTCATAAGTAAGCACTGTTAATTGGTTTTCGAGTTTTAGAACTTTACACAAATGCCGAGTTACAATAATAAATAAATGAGTTGATTATTTTTATGAGCAGTATATAAATGTTATCTTTGACAATATAGAATTAAAGTTATACACTAGGATTGGCAAATGACAGCTTGCCATCTGTTTTTGTAAATAATGTTTTATTGTGGCACAGCCTCACTCATTCATTGACATATTGTCTGTGGCTGCTTTCAGGCTATGATGACAGAGTTAAGTACATGCCACAGAGACCTGTGGCTCTCAAAGCCCAAAATACTCACTATTTAATTATTTGCAGAAAAATTTACCAATCCCTGGTATAGACGGATTGCAGAGTGAATGGCAAGGTTGCAGAGAGGTTATGAGAAGAGAAGAGCTAGCCTTGTAACACGCTTAGCTCTGCAGAAAACAGTACTAGCACAGTCGTGATAATGTGGTGTCTAATGTAATTATGCAGACTGTTGGTTGTCAACATTTAGAATTGTCCTGCATAGAAATGTTGCTGTAAAGTAAAGGTACAGATGATAGGGGTTGAGAAGTAGGACGAGACAGGAGCAGTGAAGGAAGGTGGGGCCCTAATGTTCTCATCTCACCTGGAAGGTTGTCAAGAACCACTTCTGTGGAGCAACAATCATTACATGGCTAGCTGCTTCTTGTCATCCAATCTCAGCTCAAAATCACCTGATTCATTTGTCATAAAATATTTTATTGGGCACTTAGATGTGCCAAATACTAAATGAGGCCTCCCTGGGAAGGCCTTGCATGGTCACTCAATCTAAAGTAATCATCCAGTCTCTCCTCTTAGTCTCATTTTAACCCTCTGCATAGCACTTTTCACTCTATTTTTGCATGTATTTATTAATTTATTTTCTTGTTTAATATGATTTGCTTTTGCTTATATATTTACTATGATTTATTGAATATATTACACGTAGGAATAAGAACTTCTTCTGCTTTGTTCATCACGGTGTCCCTTGCACCTAGAAAACTGCAGCAGTGCCTAGCAGGTAGTTTGCACATAATGAGTATTTGAATGAGTGAATGAATGGGCGAGTGATTGAGTGAAATGAGCAGTTGTTTAAAATTGCAGAGGTGGGCCACCCCCTGGCCAAGTGGTTACTTTTGCGCACTCTACTTTGGCGGCCCAGGGTTTCACCAGTTCGGATCCTGGGCACAGACCTAGCACTGCTCATCAAGCCATGCTAAGGTGGCATCCCACATGATACAACTAGAAGGACCCACAACTAAAATATACAACTGTGTACTGGGGGGGTTTGGGGGAGAAGAAGGAAAAATTAAAAAAATAAAAAGTAATAAAAAATCTGAAATTGCAGAGATGACCCACGAAGGATGTGAGAATACGATATAACTATATTTGTGGAAGAGAAAGATGGCACAAGTTGCTGTAATTTAACATGTCAGAGGAGAGAGTCACTAGATAATGCCTAAGATAAATCAAGAAATAATGATGTATATCATATTATTTAGAGATGTAAACTAATAACCAAAGCAGTAAAATTAGGAACAGTTAAAACTAATTGTCTCTTGGGAATGGAGAAACTCAACAGGAAACAGCAGTCTTTCATTGTAAGCCCTTTGCCTTGTTTGATTTTTTTCCTTAATAAACCTTGTTCATGTATTATTTTTAATTAGTCTCCTTTTTCTATGTATATGGAAAGGATTTCTACCAAATACATTGAATGAAAATATTTTAGCAACATTTGCTACTCTGATAAGTCTAGTATTAAAGTTTTGTATTATACACTTGGCCTTTATATAAATTGACCACATACCAGGCTATAAAGCTATTCTTGATAAAATTCAAAGAATCTGTGTTTTTTAGATCATGCTCTCCGACCAAACTACAATTAAAATTAGAAATTAGTAGCAAATAAATGAGTTTTTAAAATTTAAATTTTAAAGCTCTAAATATTTAGTCATGTGCCGCATAACAACGTTTCAGTCAATAATGGACAGTATATAGGACAGTGCAGATTGGTGTGTGATAGGCTATACCATCTAGGTTTGTGTAAGTGCATGCTATATGATGAAATGATGAAATAGCCTACCGATGCATTTCTCGGAACGTGTCCCCATCTCAGTGCGATGCATGACTGCATTTTAAAAAGAGGAAAGAGCAGAAATGGATGAAATAGCCCAGTGGCATTGCATAGAGCCACTGCTTTATTCTGAGAAAAGACTCATGCATTAATGGAAATCTGACAAATTACAGAGCTAGCATTGCAGATTCATTCATTTATGCAGCATTTACTGAGCACCCACTGTGTACTAGCCACTGCTCTAGTTGCTGCAGAGACAGTGAAGATGGGAGGAAACGACAGAAATAGATAAAACATCCCTGTTCCCAAGGTGCTTATATTCTAGTAAAGAAGACAAACAATAAACAAAGTAGGAATATAGTCTGTTCTGTGGTGATATGTATTCTAGAGAAAAATAAAGCAGAGAAGGTAGAATAAGGAGTGTGGGGTGGGAAGAATTAGTTTTAAATTGAATAATCAACAAAGGCTCGCCAGAAGGTGACGTATTAATGAAATCCTGAAGAGGTTAGAGGAGCAAGTGTCTCAGATTTCCAGGGAAAGAGCATCATAGGGCAAGTGCAAAGGCCCTGAGGTGGCAGTGTGACTGGTCCTTTCAAGCAAGAGCAAGAAGATGAGGATGGTAACAGTGGAAGGGAGCATGGGAAGAGGAAATCAGTCTAGAGAGGACTTTATGAGCTGTTGTAAAGACTTTGGCTTGATTAAATGGAAGCCATTGGAGGATTTTGATCACAGTTGTCCTGTGGTCTGAGCTTTGTTTTAATAGGTTATTGTGGCTGCTGTGTGGAGAATAGACTAAAGGGAGGCAGGGGCCAAATCAAGCAGACTAATTAAGAGGCCGTTGCAATAATCCAAGCAAAAAATTATATTGGCTTAGGTCAGAATTTAAGAGTGGTCAAAATATGTTTGAAGGTAAAGCCAGTGGTATTTGCTGACAGCTTGGATGTGAGTGTGAGAGATGTTAAGGATTGTGACTGAGCAACAGGAGGGATAGAGTTACCATTTACTGAAATGGGAAAGACTGTGGAAGAATGGGGGGAGGGGAGGGAGTAATTAAGAGTTCCACTTGGACAGTTTAAATTTGAGATGACTATTAGACATCCAAGTGGAAATGATACCCAGTTTAGGATTCCAGGCTAGAAATAGAAGTGTGCGCGTTGCCAGTGAATAAGTGGTGTTTACAGCCATGAAACTGGAAGCCATCATTGTATTTAGGAGAAAAAAGCTGTGGGGTTCTCCAGTGGCAGGCAAATAAAGAATTGACTACGGAGGAAGAGAAGGCAAGACCAGTGAGTTGGTACAGAAGGAGAGTAAGATGTCCTGGAAGCCAAGTGAAGAAAACGCTTCAAGGAGGAGGATGTGATCAGGTGTGTCAAATGTTGCTGATAGATTGTAGTGATGTGGAGTCAGCAGTGACCCTGTTTTGAGCAGTTTTGGTGGAATGGTAGGGCCATTAGCCCAGCTAGAAGAAGTTCAGGAGAAACTGGGGGATGGAGAAGAAGAATTAGAAATGTCAGGCAACTTTTGTTTTTACAGCCTCATTGATATATAATTGACATCAGTAAACTGCTCGTATTTAAAGTGTACAGTTTTGATGCCTCTTGTCATACCTATAAAAATGTGAAACCATCACCACAATCAGTATAATGAGCCCATCATCCCCAAGAGTTTCCTCATGACTCTTTGTAATCTCCCTCTAGTCGCCTGCTCTTTCTGTCCCATCTTCTAGAATTGTATATAAAAGGAATCAGACAGTGTATACTCTTTTTTGTGTGTCTCCTTTCATTATTTTGAGATTCATTCATGTTGTCAGTATCAATGCTTAATTCTTTTTATTGCCAAATAGTATTCTCTTGTATGGATATAGTACAATTTGTTTATCCATTCACCTGTTCATGAACATTTGTGTTGTTTCTAGTTTTTCTCTATTAGAATTAAAGCTGCCATAAACCTTCTTTGTAAGTCTTTGTGTGGACATATGCTGTTTTTTCTCTTGAGTAAATAAGTACCTAGGAGTAGATTGGCTAGGTCATGTGGTGGTTGCATGTTTAACTTTTTAGGAAAATGCAAGACTATTTTCCAGAGTGCTTGAAACATTGTGCGTTCTCACCAGGGGTGTATGAGACTTCCATTTGTTCTACATCTTTGCGAGTGCTTGGCACAACCAGTCTTTTATAATTCTAGCCCTTCTAATGGGAGTGTATTGGTATAGCATTGTGGTTTAAATTTGCATTTTCTTAATGACTAATCATGAGTATCTTTTTGTGTGCTTAGTTGCCATCTATGTATCTTCTTTGGTGAACTGTCTTTTCAGATGCAAAGTAAAGAATGAATTCTTGCGTACTTTCACATATTGCTCTGCCTATGCAGTTTTCCAAAATAATGTGAATGTTTTAAGTAGAGGTTGAATGTACTTTGTTAAAAACAGCCTTTAGTTCATAATGATAATTCACAAGTGATTGTGATGATGCCAGGGTAATTAGAGGAAGTGACTACTGTCTTCTTATATTCTCACAGGTTGCAGCATTGCAAGAGGAGAAAAGTAGTCTGTTGGCAGAGAATCAGATATTAATGGAAAGACTTAATCAATCAGATTCTATAGAAGACCCTAACAGTCCAGCAGGAAGGAGACATCTGCAGCTCCAGACTCAATTAGAACAGCTGCAAGAAGAAACTTTCAGGTAAAATACCTCTCACTAAAATCTAATTTTTATAAACTTGGTAACTGTCTTTTAAAGGTAAGAATGTAGTGTTAGGACTTCTGGGGAGCTGCAGACCAAGGAAGCTTTGTAATAAACAACTTCCCCCAAATCTTCCCACGTGGTATAAAATAGCTTCACATTGAGGAAGAGTTCTGTCAAAGCTGCACTTCAGGATTACTTGAAGACACTGTGTCCCGACTGACATATAACTGTGCATGAAAGGAAGAAAATAAACAGCCTCACAGCCCCCACATCACCCCCACTTCTCTTCTGCCATGTACTTTGAGGTGAGTAAAGGCAGACTGAGAAAAAAAATTAGGAGGAGACGAAAGAAGAAAACTAGGGAAGGGGCCTGTGGGTGAGTTGGAGCCGTTACCAGAACGATTAAATTCACTCAAAATCTGGAATTACTTTCCAAACAAAAAAAGAGACTATACCACAAACTGCAGGAAAAAATTTCAGAGGAAATGCATCTTCGTAAAGGGCCAGACATCATAAAAAAGTATAGGCGCTGAATTTAAAGAGACTGATGACCTTTCCACGCGCAGGGTTGAGAGACATAGGCCAGATGTGTGTTTATAGAGACAGATTTCTAAACGTACCTTCTGGGAGAGGAAAAGGCCGAAAGGAAGGAAGAAGGGCCCTTTGGCAATTGGATGGTAAAAGAGTAAAGAAGAAAAGGAAAAATTTGGTGTCCTATAAGACAAAATAGAACCTCGAAATTGAAAGACCTAGCAGGATGAGAAAATATATTATGACATGTTTCTTTTCTTTTTTAGAATTATTTTATTGAGGTCACATTGGTTAATAACATTGTTTAAATTTCAGGTGTACATCACGATAATTCGACTTGTGTATAGACTGCATCGTGTTCACCACCAAAAGTCTAGTTTTCATCCATCACCACACAAATGTCCCCTTTTACAACATTCGCCCTCCCCTCACCCCCTTCCCCTCTGTTAACCAGAACAGAACCAGTCTGTTCTCTCTATCTGTGTGTGTGTGTGTGTTTGTTTATCTTCCACATATGAGTGAAATCATACGATATTTGACTTTCTCCATTTGGCTTATTTCACTTAGCATAATACCCTCAGGGTCTATCCATGTTGTTGCAGATGGCAAGATTTCATTTTTTTATGGCTGAGTAGTACTCCATTATATATATTCACCACAACTTCTTTATACATTCATCCGTTGATGGGCATTTAGGTTGCTTCGAAGTCTTAGCTATTGTGAATGATGCTGTGATGAACGCACGGGTGCATATATCTTTCTGAATTAGTGTCTTCGTGTTCTTGGGGTAAATACCCAGAAGTGGAATAGCTGGATCATATGGTATTTCTATTTTTAATTTTTTGAAGAATCTTCCTACTGTTTTCCATAGTGGCTGAACCAGTTTACACTCCCACCAGCAGTGTATGCAGATTTCTATTTCTCCACAGCCTCTCCAACACTTATTTCTTACCTTTTTAATTATAGCCTTTCTGACAGGTGTGAGGTAATATCTCATTGTAGTTTTGATTTGCATTTCCCTAATAATTGGTGGTATTGAACATCTTTTCATGTGTCTGTTGGCCATCTGTATATCTTCTTTGAAAAAATATATTATGACCTGTTTTGTACCTAGCCATAGATTTTCAGTGTTAAAACAGTAAGAGAAATATTAATTAGATTTTTACATTACCAGGTAACTTTATATGGTAACATATCAACTATCCTTCATTATTTCTCAATGAACTGTCTCTGGATTTTTGTTTTTGTTTTTTGCCTTAACAGGAAAAAATTAAAAACTTCTCAGAAACCTTAGAAACAGTTCATTCCCTATGATCTACATCAGCAGTTCAGAGTGTGGTCCCAGGAGCCCCACAGGTTCACTGAGATCCTTTGAGAGAATCTTCAAGGCCCTCTCTTTTCCAGCTGCATATCTGTGTAAGGCTGGATTTCCTCTTCATACTTCAGCCAAAAACTGTCATGACAGATGAATGTAGAAACACATATGAGAACCCAGCTGTCTTCTATTAAACCAGATTTTTGAATCGCAAAAATGCAAAACAGTGCCACTCTTCTCACTATTTTTTTGTTTTAGAAAATACAGGTTTTTTTCCCCAAGTAATTTTATTGGGATTATAATGGTTTTATACCATTGTGTAATTTCAGGTGTACATTATTGTTTATCAGTTTCTGAGTACACTTCATTGTGCTCACCCCAGTAGTCTGATTTTTATCCATCACCATACATATGTGCCCCTTTATCCGTTTTGCCACCCTACAGTTATTTTTCATAAATGATGTTTTGTCTGTATTAACATAATAGGCTTATTACTGTTATTTTCAAATGAACTAAGTAAATGTATTTAGATTTTTTCAGCTTTGATTTCTAATATGATAAATATCGATAGAGAAAACCTATATAAGCAAAAGTCCTTTTGAATCTCAATAATTTTAAGGGGGTGAAGGAGTCTTGAAACCAAAAAGTTTGAGAACCCTTCATCTGCATCTTGACTTTCTAAGACAGTGTCAGTGGATAGTAAAATTTAAGTCTGACTTTACCCTTTTGTTTCTAAATCGTGACTAGTTTTTAAAGTATGGTTTCAGGGAACTGGTATTTAAAACTGTCTTACATTTTCAATATAAAAGAAATAATGTCTAATGCTTTTATTATTCCAGATACATATTGCAATACTATATTTTGAAGTACTTCAATAGTTTAAATATTTTGTCAGTACTATATATCACTATTTTTTATTATTTATATTCAAATGTAATACTTCTGGCTCATGCTTAGTATGAGATTGTACCTTCATTTTTTTCTTTTTTTTTTTTTAGCATTGATGGCATTTAAGATTCCAGTCCCATAGATTGTTAATTACAAAGGAGACATCACCTTAACCAAAGCATGAAACTTAGCAGCACCACCAGTGGCATAGGACACCCTGACATTGTGTGCCTCATGACATGATGCTATAAGAAGTAGACAGCATCACCTATGTAGTATTTTTGCCAAATATTTAACCTGAATTTAATCGTGAAGAAATAATCAGAATGAGGGATATCCTTTAAGATGGCCAAGACTACTTAAAAAAAGTCAATGTCATAAAAAACGAAACAAGACAGAAAAACAAGAGATGTTACAACTAAGGATAATGTATAAATTTTCATTGGATCCTGGATCAGGGTAGGGAGAGAGAACTATAAGACATTTTTACTACTACTGGGGAAATTTAAATACAGTCTACATTTCAGGTAATATTGTTGAATTAATATTAATTGTCTTAGATATGATAATGATATTGTGATTATGTAAAAGATTATCCTTATTGCTGAGGTATTTGAGGGTGAAGCATCATGCCCTCTGTAGCTTACTTTCAAATAGTTCTCAAAAAACTGTGTGTGTGTTTTACATATGTGTATATACATGAAGTGAGTGAGAGAAAGCATATGAGGCAAAATACTTACAATAGGTGAATCTAGCAAAGGGTATACAGTATTCATTGAACTATTCTTTCAAATTATAGATTTGAAATATAAAAAATAAAATGGTGGGGGAAAGAAAGAAGTTAGATTCAGTATTCTAGACAATGATAACAGAGTGTAAGCATTTACCTCCACTTCCCCCTCCCTGAAATCAAAGCCCACAGAGATAATTTTAAAAAAAGAAAACTGCTAATATCCCATTTATAAATATTCTTTAAATAATCCTAAATAAAATAGTAGTGAATTTAGTTCAGTACTATATTAAAATAAACTTTTTTTTTTTTAAAGATTGGCACCTGAGCTAACAACTGTTGCCAATCTTTTTTTCTGTTTTATTTCCCCAAATCTCTCCGGTACATAGTTGTCTATCTTAGTTGCAGCTCCTTCTAGTTGTGGCATGTGGGACGCCGCCTCAGCGCGGCCTGATGAGCGGTGCCATGTGTGTGCCCAGGATCCAAACCGGCGAAACCCTGGGCCACCGCAGCAGAGCACAAGAACTTAAGCACTCGGCCACAGGGCCAGCCCCTAAAATAAACTTTATCCCAAGATTGTTAACCTGTTGAATATTAGTAAATCTATTACAATAACTATTAAATCTGTTTTTATAGCTCCTTCAATCCATAAGTTAAAGGAGAAAGAAAAGTATAAAATAAGTTTGTGAATATGTAAGATTCTCAGTAAAGAACAAGATGAGGATGAGTATTAATCTGTTTGACTTTTTCTAGACGTTCTGTAACTCCTGGCTTTGCCACGTACCAGCTGTGGAAGCTTGGGCATGCTTTTACTTCCTCCACTGTAAGGTGGACTAATAGTATTATCTATTTTCTAGAATTTTTGTGAGTATTAAATGAGTTAATATATGTAAAGTACTGAGACTATTGCTGGCACATAGATGCTATATAAGATTTAGCTGTAATTATTTTCCTAGAAAATGAAATGAGAAAGAAATGAAATGAAAATATTGGAAAAATGAAAAATAAGTCATCGTTATTCGTGGATAATACATTTTGTCAACCAAAATACTCTAAGTACTCTAGTATATGGAGAGAGAACATCATATTTTTACATGTTTTTTGTGGAGCATTGTAAGAATGCCACTTTCTCTTAAATTATTATATAATTTGATCTTGATTCCAATTTGAATTTTACGTTCATCCACAAGTATTAATGAGCAAGAGATTCCTAAAACATTTTGAGAACAAAGTATAATGAGGGAGTACTAGCCATATTCAGTGTTGAAATATGTTATGAAGCTATACTAATTAAATAACTTGGTACTCGTCCTGCAAAATATAGTGACACAAATGAAGATCCAGAAACCAATCTAAGTGTATATAAAAATGTCTAATGTGATAGGTGGCATTTTCTAATTAGTAGGGAAACGTTAAATTATTTGTTAAATGGTTGGGGGACAGTTGGTAGGTATTTTGGCAGGAAAAGTCAGATTCCTACATTATATCATATACAAAAATGAATTTCAGTGAAATTGAAAAAAAATTTTTTTTCTAAAATTGGCACCTAAGCTAACACCTGTTGCCAGTCTTCTTTTTTTCTTCTTCTTCGTCTTTTCTCCAAAGCCCCCCCAGTAAATAGTTGTCTCTTCTAGTTGTGGCATGTGGGATGCCGCCTCAGCATGGCTTGATGAGCAGTGCTAGGTCTGTGCCTGGGATCCGAACCAGGGAAACCCTGGGTCGCCAAAGTGGAGCACACAAACTTAACCACTCGGCCACGGGACCAGCCCCTGAAATTGAGAACCTTAATGTTAAAAATAAAACGTATATCGGGGCCGGCTTGGTGGCATAGTGGTTAAGTTCACGTGCCCCACTTCAGCGGTCCGTGGTTCGCTGGTTCAGAACCTAGGTGCGGACCTACACACCACTCATCAAGCTGTACTGTGGCAGCATCCCACTTAGAGTGACTAGGAGGACTTACAACTAGGTTATGCAAGTATGTACTGGGGCTTTGAGGAGAAAAAGAAAAGTGGAAGATTGGCAACATATGTTAGCTCAGGGCCGATCTTCCTCACCAAAAGAAGCATATGTTGAAAAAAATAAAATAAAATGAAACATATAAATACTAACAGGAAATATAGGATTAAAAGAAGAAAACTTTTTTTTTTTTGAGGAAGATTAGCCCTGAGCTAACTACTGCCAGTCCTCCTCTTTTTGCTGAGGAAGCCTGGCCCTGAGCTAACACCCGTGCCCATCTTCCTCTACTTCTATATGTGGGACTCCTACCACAGCATGGCGTGCCAAGCAGTGCCAGGTCCGCACCTGGGATCTAAACTGGCGAACCCCGCGCCGACAAGAAGTGGAATGTGTGAACTTAACTGCTGCGCAACTGGGCCAGCCCCCAAAAGAAGAAAACTTTTTAATCATACCCTAAAAATGGAAACTATAAAGCATAAGATTGTCAATTGAATTACATAAAAATTAACTTCTCTACCTTAAATACGTAAGTAAAATTAAAAGTAAATAATAAATATTTGTGACGTGAGAGACAAAGAATCTTGTAAATCAAAAGGAAGGATGTATGTTAAGCAAAACAAATTAAATAGAAGTAGGAACAGAGTTATCATATTTTGAGGGAAAAATATCTATGAATAGAAATCAAACTGGAGGAAATACTCCAAAAATGTTAACAGTAGTTATCTATCTAGAGTACATGATTTTTATCTTTTATAAATTTTCAACAAGGAATATATGCTGATTCATAATAAAAAATAAAACTTTAGATGAATTATATCTGCTGTATTTTAGGAAAATATTACTTGATGTCTAGCTTTCTGAAGAGCAGACTGGTAATCTGTTATCATCTTTCCACAAGCCTCGGAAGAGTGGGCTTCATTTTCGGGAGAATTAAAACTTAAACTATAGCTTATGGTCACAAAAGTAGGAGACAGATTCAAGAAGAGTTTATTCTTATGTTTTTCATTTTCTTTTACTGTCCTAAGGAGAATGATTAGACAGTAAATAGTGCTTTCTTGGTCTTTTTTGTTTTGGTTACAGACTAGAAGCAGCCAAAGATGATTATCGAATACGCTGTGAAGAGTTAGAAAAGGAAATCTCTGAACTTCGGCAGCAGAATGATGAACTCACCACTTTGGCAGATGAAGCTCAGTCTCTAAAAGATGAAATAGATGTTCTTAGGTAAACAAATCTTCCACCATGTGACACACTAGGATCTCTGCGCACATCAGGGGGTGCTGAGCGCCAGGCCACCTGAGTTCAGATCCCAGTGCTGCCATTTGTGTTTAACTTCCATGTAACCATTTTCTCATCTGTAAAATGGAAATCATACATATACCTATCTCAGATTTATATGTGGAATTAAGTGGGTTTCTATTTGCGAACACTTGAAACAGTATCTGGCAAATAATTGCTATATAAATATTAAATAAAAATTAGTCTCTGACCATCACTTCATCATGTGTATTGCTCTGGAGCTTTTCTTATTACTGCTCCTGTTCTTTAATTTTGAGTCCTCCAGTCACTTGGCCTTCCTTTTTCTCAGACACTGTCACACCCCACGAGACTGCATTTCCTTGCTGGAACTTTTTGTCTTCACCTCAACTGTTGTGTCACCAGGCGCCTCACTCCCTGCCACCTCATTTTTCCACCATTCCGTTTCTTGTATAGTCTGTCTTCTGTTGGATCATTTCAACAATCTTTTACACTTTTGCTCTTTGAACGCTGAGAATGAATGGAGAAAAACCACATAGTGATACAGTTTTGTCCTACTACAGATTAATGATCTCGACTCTTCACTGGGTTCTTACCACTGGTCCAGCATTCTATTGCTCATAGTAGCTAGCTCCATCTGCCGTTTCTCTCATAGCTGTTACACATTTTCATAACTCTTCTCACCTGAATGCCCACCCACTGCACCTCTCCCATGCCTTAGTCTCAGTAGGTGACATTGTCTCCCACTGTGTAGAGGAAAGAGGTGCTGTGGACCTCTCTATGTCCTGTATCTGCACCTCCAAACTTCCCTGCATTCCCACCCATCTTTTCTTTCTTGCTTCTAGAGTGTAGACTTGTTATTCTTCCTCTGGCTTAGTACTAATTCCTTCTTCAGGGCTCTGGGTCTCCACCCTTCTTGCCTACACAGAGACTGTGTTACATTAATTATCATTTCTCTTCATATTTTGAATCTCCCTCCTTAGCATATATTTATGTTTAGGTCTCTCTCATCTTAGAAAAAGAGAGACTTACTACTCTCTCCTTCCCTGTAGAACAAATTTAGATTACACAAGGTAAACTTTACCTTCACTCTTTAACCCCCTACAATTTGCCACCGTCTGCCCGCATTGCTCCACTGAATCAGCTATTCCCGTGGTCACTAACAACATTCAAATTGCCGAATCATTTGAACACTGCACAATTTGTTTTGCTTTTGTGCTGCATGTGACTCTGCTGGCTGCCTCACCTACTCGGTCTCCTTAAATTATATAATGTTCTCTATTAGAAATTTTGCTATAATTTTGGTCATATTTTTTAACCTGAGCAAAAATTTAACCTAGGATCACCTTTGGTCTTATAATTTCATTAGACTGTGTTATTTCCTAGCAATTCCTCTTGGTCTAGCACTATGTTAAACAGCTTTACAAATGTGATTGTCTTCCTGATTTCTGATTTCCCATCTCATTCTAGACATTCTTCTGATAAAGTGTCTAAACTAGAAGGCCAAGTGGAATCATATAAAAAGAAGCTAGAAGATCTTGGTGATTTGAGGCGGCAGGTTAAACTCTTAGAAGAGAAGAATACTATGTATATGCAGAATACTGTCAGTCTAGAGGAAGAGTTAAGAAAAGCCAATGCAGCTCGAAGTCAACTTGAGACATATAAGCGACAGGTAAAAGAATAGTAACAGAGTTTCTTAATACTGTTTTCAAGCAAGCTCTCCGTTATAACACTACGGCTTATCAAAAATCTACTGACTTTTTAGGGGCCGGCCCCGTGGCACATTGGTTAAGTTTGCACGTTCTGCTTCTGCAGCCCAGGGTTTGCTGGTTCAGATCCCTGGCGTGGACCTATGCACTGCTTGTCAAGCCATGCTGTGGCAGGTGTCCCACATATAAAGTAGAGGAAGATGGGCACGGATGTTAGCTCAGGGCCAGTCTTCCTCAGCAAAAAGAGGAGGATTGGCAGCAGATGTTAGCTCAGGGCTAATCTTCCTCAAAAAAAAATATATATATGTAAAAAAAATAGAAGAAGAAGAAATCTACTGACTTTTTTTTTTCACAGTATTCTATTTTTTACCTATGAAACTTAGGTCTTATCCAGAGGTTATCTATTGGCCTCTATAGCAGATCCTTTTGTTGTTTTTTATTTTTCATTTATAATGTAATACTTAAGAAATACACAAAAATAAAAGAATAATACAGTAGGTATCCATGCTTAAAAACTAAAACATACTGTTCCCCTCCTCATTACAGTAACCACTCTGCTGTTTTGTGGTTTTCATTCTCATGCATCCTTTTTTTTTTTTAAAGATTTTATTTTTCCTTTTTCTCCCAAAGCCCCCTGGTACATAGTTGTGTATTTTTAGTTGTGGGTCCTTCTAGTTGTGCCATTTGGGACACCGCCTCAGCATGGCTTGATGAGCAGTGCCATGTCCGCATCCAGGATCCGAACCAGCTAAACCCTGGGCTGCAAAAGCAGAGTGCATGAACTTAACCACTTGGCCACTGGGCCGGCCCCCTTGTATCTTTATTTTTTTGCTGCATATGTTCATCCATAAATATATATATATAATTTATAACATTTTTGACATTTCAAAAACTATATGAATGCTATAGTGAAAGGACTCTTCTGCAGTTTCCATGTGCTCAGTAGCATATTTGTGAGATCTGTCTGTATTAGTCAATACAGCTGTACTCCATTCATTTGCACTGCTCTGTAGTATCCTGTTGAGTAATATACACAATCTATCCATCTTTCTGTTGAAGGACAGAGAGAATGTTGCAATTGCTTTTTATATTACAAGAAATGCTACTATTAATAGTATTGAACATATCCTTATCTGCACGTGTCAAAGTTTTACAACTATCTGGAATTTAAGGATCTTCCTTTAATTGGATACTACCGAATTGCTCTCCAGAGTGATCGTATTACCAAGAAGAAGTTTGTATGAATTCCTGATTTTCCACATCATCGCCACTGCATAATATTGCCAAACTTGCAATTCTGCCAATTGGATGGATATGAAATAGTGTCTCATTATGATTATACTTTTCTTTACCCTGATTACAAATATATTTCCTGATCACTTTTTTGTGTGACTTGCCTGGTTTTATCTTTTATTCATTTTTAAAATTAGATTATTTTTCTTATTGATTTCTGAAAGTTCTTTATATGTTCTCTTTTTTTTTTTGAGAAAGATTAGCCCTGAGCTAACTACTGCCAATCTTCCTCTTTTCGCTGAGGAAGACTGACCCTGAGCTAACATCCATGCCCGTCTTCCTCTATTTTATACATGGGACGCCTACCACAGCATGGCTTTTGCCAAGCGGTGCCGTGTCCGCACCCAGGATCCAAACCAGCGAACCCCGGGCCACCAAGAAGCTGAATGTGCGAAGTTAACCGCTGCGCCACCAGGCTGGCCCCGACCTTTATATGTTCTTGATATTAATCTTTCGTCACATGTTGTGTTTATTTCCTGCCAATCTGTGACCTGTCCTCTTAGTTTTTTTGAGATTGATAATTTTAGTATAATGAACTTTAAGTATCATTTTCTTTGTGATTTGTGCTTTTTATGTCTGATTTAAGAAATCATTTCCTGCATAAAGATGTAACACTAATCTCTATTTTCCTAATAAAGATTCAAAGCTCACCTTGAACATTTAAGTCTTCAATCCACATGGGATTGGTTTTTGTGTAGGGTGTGAGGTTAGGGGTCCATTTGATACTTTTTGTCTGTGGGCAGCCAGTCAACCTGGCAGCATTTATTTAAGTCTCTTCCACAATGACCTGCAGTTCTACCTTACATCTAAAGTTTCCATGTTCTGTGTAGGTTTGTTTCTGGGCACTCTCTTCTGTTTCATTGCTCGGTTTGTCTACTTTTACACCAATACCCTACTGTCTTACTCTCTATAGATTTTTAGTAATTTTGATATTTGGTAGTGCAGACACCCATACCTTGTATTTCAAAATTGTCTATTCTTAGACCTTTTCTTTTCCTTTATACCCCCAAATTTTGGAGATTGGAATTACATTGAATTTGTTAATTTGAGGACAGTTGACATCTTTATGACAATGAATGTTCCTATCAGTGAGTATAACTTCCTTCTATTTAGTTCTTCAGTGTCTTTCAGCTAAGTTTTATAATTTTCTTGTAAATATCACACATATTTTGTTTCATTTACTCTTAGGTACGTTTTGTTACTTGGTTTTAGTAAATGCAATTAGAAAAAGGATACCATTTTCCATTTTCAATTTGTTCCTCATTTGTATGATTGAAATTGGTTTTTATACATTGATTTTTCATCCTTGCCAAATTCTCATATTGCTTCTAATAACGTCTGTAGGGTCTCTTGTCAGAAGTCATATAGTACACAAATGAAAGCAGTTTTGTTTTTCTTTCTACTCTGTACCCTTTTTTCTTCTTAATCAGCATTCTAACCTTTAACACAACTTTGAATAGAAGCAATAATAGTAGGCAACCATTTCTTGTTGATTTCATACAAAATACTTTAAAAGTTTTACCAGTATATTAGAGGATTGCTCTAGGTTTTTGTAGCTCCCTTTTATTAGGATAAAGAAATTCCATTGTATTCCTAATTTGCTTAGGGCGTCTATCTTAAATGGATATTGAAGTTAACCAGCTACTTTCTCTGCACCTGTTGGGAGATTCCTTTGCTGCTTCTCCTCTCTATTAATGTGATGAATTGCGTTAAAGGATTTTCTGTGCTTAAACAACATCCTTGCAATCCACACATAAACTCCCTTTGGTTACACAGGATTTATTTGTTGTGTTCACATTGTTAGATTTGCTTTGTTTATTTTACTTAGAATATTTTGCCTCTATGATTCACTTGAAGTTTTCTTATCTCATACTTTCCTTATCCGATTTTGGCAACAAGATTATACTAGCTTTCAATAAAATGAGCTGGAGAAGTTTTAGTGGTATAGACCTGTGCACCATGATTGGCTGGCAAGTTTTTTTTGGTGAATACCTTTTTTCCCAACATTTTATTATTAAATTTTTCAACAGACAACAAAGGTGAAAGAATTAGTAAACTTGAATACGGACTGAGAAATTACTCAAAATAAATGTAGCCCAAAGAAACTATAAGTGAGATTAAAAGGTTTTAAATTAAAATGAGAAATGATCTAATTAGAATTCCAGAGGAGGGAACAGAAAGAATTATAGAAGACATTTGAAGGAAAGGATGGTTGGACATTTTTCAGAATTAATAAAGGACATCAGATTTAGTATTAACATTGAATTACAAACGAAATAAGTAAAAAGAAATCTGTATCTAGAAATATTATAGTGAAATTACATAATACAGTAATTCTCTCTACCTGTTTCTGATCTGGAACTTAATATATTTTATTTTTTAATGATAATGTTTTTCTTTCTACAAGTTCTCCTTTAGGTGCTCTTTCAAACCTGTCTGATTGTTTTTGATGGTCTCTTATTCATTCCATAATTTAGATTTTCTTCTTTATTTTCCTGACGTAGTAAACTTAGTATTTGATATCTGATCATTCCAATCTGAAATCCTTGGAGGTCGTATTCAACTATTTTGTTGTTGTTATTGCTGTTAATGTTTTTTTCCTGACCATTGTTCATAGTGCCTTATTTCTCGTTTTTGGTGAGGAAGATTGGCCCTGAGCTAACATCTGTTGCCAATCTTCCTCTTCTTGCTTGAGGAAAATTGTTGCTGAGTTAACATCTGTGCCAATCCTCCTCCATTTTGTGTGTAGGATTCCACCATAGCATGCCTTGATGCCCAGACTCCGAGCCTGCAAACCCCAGGCCACCAAAGCGGAGCATGCGGACTTAACCAGTATACCCCTGGGCCAGCTCCCAAAGTGGCTCATTTCTTTATGACCTTTGTGGTTTTAGATTTGCTCTTTCATTTGGCTTATCTTTATCTTTGGGAATACTGGGGGCCTGGGTCGAGGTTGTGTTCCTCCAGACAGTGTGTGTTTTGCTTATGCAGATTGTCCACAGCATTACCAACTAGGACTACTTTAAGTTAATTGCTTGGCTTAGGATTTGCCAGACAAGGCATATGGTAAAAATTCAAATGCAAATGCATGTATTAGTGGGTCATAGTTGCAGATTTTCAAGTTAGACTTTCTTAAGCCCACAGCACTTACTTTAAAACAAATTTCCTATTGATTTTTTTCCAGCTGATGGATTTTTTTTCCCTAAGCCGCTGTTTACTGACTCACTACCTTTTAGGGCACAAGGTAGTTTAACAAACACCTGTCCCTCATTAAATTCAAAGCTCTAGGTTCCTGGTATTGGCGGTTGGCACCTCATGGTACCCGTAGCTTCCGCCCAAATTCCCACTCCAGTTTTAGCCCATGGGTTTTCCCTTATTTTCTTGTAAGTTTAACTATGCACTTGGATTTTTTTCTCCTGGGATTTCTTTTCCTTTATGCTAAAGGGTTTGAGACTATCCAGCTATCTGTATTATAGGGAATGGAAATCCTATAGGTTCTTGTATAATTTTGAGCACTGTTACTCTGGATGATCTGGCTTCAGAACCATAGTATCTGGGCAGATCTTTGTTCCTAGTTCTCTCCATTGGCTTAGGCTGCTGTATCGTATATGTGTTTTTTGAGTATTTGAGTGGTGAGAGTTTTCATAGATCTGTAGAAGAAAACAGTGATAACTTCTAATGTTTCAAATTATAAAAATTAATGGTACCTTTCTGTATCAGGTAGTGGAACTACAGAATAGATTATCTGAAGAATCGAAGAAAGCAGATAAATTAGATTTTGAATATAAGCGGCTAAAAGAAAAAGTTGACAGTCTTCAAAAAGAAAAAGATGTGAGTATATATACTAGGCATTTGGTTTTGAGCACTGCTAAAATTAAGAATATTTAAGTCATGTTTGGACTACATTAATTCCTTCTAAATTTAAAAATTAGAGATTCTGTTTATTTTTAAATTACCGATTTATGTTTGTGTTGCAGAAATAGATCTAAAATAAACGATTAAAAGAATGTTTTACTTCCATTCTAATTTCTTTTATTATATTTATCTTTTCTACTATTGTTGCCTCATTTACATGGTTCTGCTTGTGACTTTCTATAAATTTATGGAGCTTTTCTACTTTCTATATGATTAATACAGAGGACAATTCTTTTGTTGTTCAGCATATTTTGAATGTTTTAAGAATGTTTTTACTTTGTCATGATTTGTGAATATTTAAAATCTTTGATCTTTAATAAAAGAATGTTAATTACATAAGATACTTATTGTTAAGGATGGAATAGACAGTTTTGTTTCTTATGTTTAACTGTGAATAGCGTGTTGCCTTGCACATAGTTAGATATTCAGTACTGTTAAATGGAAAAACTGTTGTAATCTTTTCCTTCTATGATGTTTCTATAGAAACAGATCAAAAGTAGAACATGTCCATGTTCCCTACTGTTTACCATTCTGTTAGGTAAGGCAGAGACCACCAATGGACAAACTCATAAATCTTGAAGCTGACTTTTCTTGTTTCTAACGTCCCTCAGAGGTTAAGAACAGAGAGGGACTCTCTGAAGGAGACCATTGAAGAGCTTCGCTGTGTACAGGCTCAAGAAGGGCAGCTCACAACTCAAGGTAAAAGTATTTCAGTAGCCCAAACAAGGTTATTTATTTCTAATAGTATCAGCAAAAATATTAGATTCATTTTAAGATGATTGCACCAATAGATGAAAATTTAAAACTTGGTGAAGAGGCCATGAAAGTGATATAAATTTTAAACTGTTACCCAGATTTTATGGCAAATGGGCTATAGTTATGAGACCAGATTTACTAGCTTACTTTATATTTTAATTATATTTAAATATTTGAGTTTTCTTAGGTCAAAAGCATAACAATTTGTTAAATAAGCTCTGTTAGTAATAATTATGGAAAGTTTCTCATCACCACTTCAAAAGTATATTAAACTTTGTAAATCAGTGGGTTTTTTCCAAGTGAGATGTGAGGTGGGTATCAATCCATTAGGGACTTTTATCCAAAGTAGAAAACCACTGTCATCACAGCAAAGGAGCAGCCCCCAGCTGCAGGTTCACCCTCCCCCACTCTTCCATGGGCACGCTGGGGCACGTGGGCTTCCCACTCATGGCTCGGACAGCTCCCCTTTGTTCACGCCTCCTGTAGTAACCAGCCCATGGCTTTTCAGTCACCTGAAACTGGAATTTTCCTTTTCTTCTGCCTACAATCTCCTTTTTCTCCTCATTCCTTCTGCCAAACCTGCTCATTTACTTCATTTTACCTTTAACCCCACTCTGATGTTTCTATTGATCGACTCTGGCCTCATCCTCTGGCCTCATTTTCCAGCTTACCCAACCTGCATGTCAACTAGTATTTTAACTATGTCCTTCTCATCACCGCCATCTTTCCTTAACCCTCTTGACCTATTTCTAGACCAGCTTGTCAAACCCTAATTCAGATAGGCTAAAGTTTTTTCTCTGTGCCAAATTACCAAGGCTAGCTAAAGAAACTTACCTATCTTTCTTTTTGTTTCTTTTTTTTATTGAGGTATGATTGATATATAATGTTATATTAGTTTCAGGCGTACAACATAATGATTTGATATTGTATATATTGCAAAATGATCACCACAATAAGTCTAGTTAACATCCACCACCATATGCAGTTATAAATTTTTCTTCTTCTGATGAGAACTTTTAAGATCTACTCTCTTAGCAACTTCCAAATGTGCAGTACGGTATTAAATATAGACACCATGTTGTACATTATTCTCAGTCATGTTGTAGGTGCACCTGTTCACCCTTTGTGCCCATCCCCCGCCCCCCTTTCCCCTGGTAGCCACTAATCTGTTCTCTTTGTCCACATGTTTAAATTCCTCAGATGAGTGGAGTCATACAGAGATTGTCCTTCTCTATCTGGCTTATTTCACTTAACATAATTCCCTCAAGGTCCATCCATGTTGTTGTGAATGGGATGATTTTATTCTTTTTTATGGCTGAGTAGTATTCCATTGTATGTGTATATATACACCATGTCTTCTTTATCCAGTCATCAGTTGGTGGGCACTTAGGTTGCTTCCATGTCTTAGCTATTGTAAATAATGCTGCACTGAACATAGGGGTGCATGGGACTTTTGGAATTGCTGACTTCAAATTCTTTGGAGAAATACCCAGTAGTGGGATGGCTGGGTCATACGGTATTTCTATTTTTAATTTTTTGAGACATCTCCATACTGTTTTCCATAGTGGATGTACCAGTTTGCACTCCCACCAGCAGTATATGAGAGTTCCTTTTTCTCCAAAACCTCTCCAACACTTGTTACTTTTTGTTTTGGTTATTTTTGCCATTCTGATGGGTGTAAGGTGATATCTTAGTGTGGTTTTGATTAGCATTTCCCTGATGATCAGCGATGATGAACATCTTTTCATGTGCCTAGTGGCCATCTGTATATCTTCTTTGGAGAATGTCTGTTCATGTCTCCTGCCCATTTTTTGATCGGGTTGTTTGATTTTTTGTTGTTGAGTTGTGTGAGTTCTTTATATATTATGGAGATTAACCCTTTGTCAGATATATGACTTGCAAATATTTTTTTCCCAATTAGTGGGTTTGTTTTTTTGTTTCAATCCTGTTTTCCCCTACCTTGAAGAACCTCTTTAGTTTGATGAAGTCCCATTTGTTTATTCTTTCTATTGTTTCCCTTGTCTGAGAAGACATGGTGTCCGAAAAGATCCTTTTAATACTGATGTCAAAGAGTGTACCGCCTACATATTCCTCCAGAAGCCTTATGGTTTCAGGTCTTACCTTTAGGTCTTTGATCCATTTAGAGTTTATTTTTGTGAATGGTGAAAAAGAATGGTCATTTTTCATTCTTTTACATGTGGCTTTCCAGTTTTCCCAGCACACTTTGTTGAAAAGACTTTCTTTTCTCCATTGTATGCCCTCAGCTCCTTTGTCGAAGTTTAGCTGTCTGTAGATGTGTGATTTTATTTCTGGGCTTTCAGTTCTGTTCCGTTGATCTGTGCACCTGTTTTTGTGCCAGTACCATGCTGTTTTCATTACTGTAGCTTTGTAGTATGTTTTGAAGTCAGGGATTGTGATGCCTCCAGCTTTGTTGTTCTTTCACAGGATTCCTTTAGCAATTCGGGGTCTTTTCTTGCCCCATATGAATTTTAGGATTCTTTGTTCTATTTCTGTGAAGAATGTCATTGGGATTCTGATAGGTAGAAGGGACATTTTAACTATGTTTATTCTTCCAATCCATGTACATGGAATGTCTTTCCATCTCTTTATGTCGTCATCCATTTATTTCAGACAAGCCTTGTAATTTTCATTGTATAGGTCTTTCACTTCCTTAGTTAAGTTTACCGCGAGGTATTTTATTCATTTTGTTGCGATTGTGAATGGTATTCTGTTCTTGAGTTCTTTTTCTGTTAGTTCATTTAATAACTAGAGTATAGAAATGCTTCTGATTTATGCAAATTGATTTTATAACCTGCAACTTTGCTGTAGTTGTTGATTACTTCTAAAAGTTTTCCAGTGGATTCTTGGGGTTATCTATATATAAGATCATGTTGTCTGCAAACAGTGAGAGTTTCACTTCTTCCCTCCCTAGTTGGATTCCTTTTATTCCTTTCTCTTGCCTAATTGGTCTGGCCAAAACCTACAATACTATGTTGAATAAGAGTGGTGATAGAGGGCATCCTTGTCTCGTTCCTGTTTTCAGGGGGATGGTGCTCAATTTTTCCCCATTGAGTATGATGTTGGATGTGGGTTTGTCATATATGGCCTTTATTATGTTGAGGTAGTTCCCTTCTATGCCCATTTTGTTCAGAGTCTTTATCATAAATGGCTGTTGGATCTTGTCAAATGCTTTCTCTGCATCTATTGAGATGATCATGTGGTTTTTATTCCTCAGTTTGTTGATGTGGTGTATTACGTTGATTGATTTGCAGATGTTGAACCTTCCCTGTGTCCCTGGTATGAATCCCAGTTGGTCATGATGTATGATTCTTTTGATGAATTGCTGAATTCGGGTTGCCAAAATTTTGTTGAGAATTTTTGCGTCTATGTTCATCAGCGATATTGGCCTGTAGTTCTCCTTTTTCTTGCTGTCCTTGTCAGGCTTTGGTATGAATGTGATGTTGGCCTCGTAGAATGTGTTAGGAAGTGTTCCCTACTCTCTAATTTTTTAGAATAACTTGAGAAGGATAGGTATTAAATTCTCTCTGAAAGTTTGGTAGAATTCCCAGGAAAGCCATCTGGTCCTGAGGTTTTAGTCTTTGGGATGCCTTTGATTGCTGTTTCAATCTCTTTCCTTGTGATTGGTCTGTTCAAATTGTCTGCTTCCTCTTAACTAAGCTTTGGGAGATTATAGGATCCCAAGAATTTGTCCATTTCCTCTAGGTTATCCATTTTGTTGGCATATAATTTTTCATAGTATCCTCTTATAATCCGTTGTATTTCTGTGGAGTCTGTTGTTATTTCTCCTCTTTCATTTCTGATTTTGTTTATTTGAGCTTTCTCTCTTTTTTTCTTGTACGTCTGGCTAGGGGTTTGTCAATTTTATTTATCTTCTCAAAGAGCCAGCTCTTTGTTTCATCGATCCTTTCTACTGCCTTTTTTGTTTCAATAGCATTTATTTCTGCTCTGATTTTTATTATTTCTCTCCTACTGCTGACTGGGCTTCATTTGTTCTTATTTGTCTAATTCAGTTAGGTGTAGTTTAAGATTGCTTATTTGGGATTTTTCTTGTTTGTTAAGATGTGCCTGTATTGCGATGAATTTCCTCTTAACTACAGCTTTTGCTGTATCCCATATGAGTTGGTTTGGCATGTTATCATTTTCATTTGTCTCCAGGTATTTTTTAATTTCTTCTTTGATTTCTTCAGTGATCCATTGCTTGTTTAATAGCTTGTTGTTTAGTCTCCACATCTTTATGCCTTTCTCAGCATTTTTCTTGTAAGTAATTTCTTGCTTCATAGCATTATTTCGGAGAAGATGCTTGTTATTATTTCAATTTTTTTAAATTTGTAGAGGCTTGCCTTGTTTCCCAACATATGGTCTATCCTTGAGAATGTTCCATGTGCACTTGAGAAGAATGTGTATTCTGCTGTTTTTGGATGGAGTGTTCTATATATGTCTATTAAGTCCTACTGCTTTAGCTTTTCGTTAAGCTCCACTGTTTCCTTGTTGATTTTCTGTCTGGATGATCTGTCCATTGATGTGAGTGGGGTGTTGAGGTCCCCTACTATATTGTGTTATTTTTGATGTCTTTTTTAGGTTTGTTAATAGTTGTTTTATGAACTTTGGTGCTCCTGTGGTGGGTGCATAGATATTTATAAGCATTATTTCTCCTTGATGAAGTGTCCCTTTTATCATTATATGCTGTCCCTCTTTGTCTTTCTTTATCTGTTTTGCTTTGAAATCTACCTTGTCTGATATTAGTATAGCGACACCTGCTTTCTTTTGTTCATTATTCGCTTGGAGTATTGTTCTCCATCCCTTCACTCTGAGTCTGTGTTTGTCTTTGGGGCTGAGGTGTGTTTCCTGGAGGCAGCATATTGTTGGATCTTGTTCTTTGATCCATCCTGCCACTCTGTGTCTTTTGATTGGGGAGTTCAATC